ATCACCAACAAAATAATATAACTGTTAAATAAATAGTGTTCTTACCTGACCTTTGGCCTGAGATATCCATGTTTGGAAGAGCAAGTTTAGCCTTGTTTTATGATATTTCCTTGTAGTTTTCACAGCAATAAAAATATCTTTCAATTCCAACTTTTCCTTAGCAGAGACTTCAGCAGATTTCATATGTATCACATTGTGTGGCCTTTTATTTATCTTTCCATTAGCTTTCAGATGGGATCCACCAGTGTCTGTGACATAATGATTCCATTTTTCTAGTAGATTCTCTTTAGTTAAGGGCACTATATTGTCAATCTCAGCATCCAAAGGATTGGGGGAATTGAACTCCACCTGCTGAAGTGGGGTATCATCCTTGTTGGAAGCATTAAAAACAAGTGATGGACGTGGCTGAGGATAGATCTTAAATCTCCAGCTGGATTGGAATTTGGGAATTAGCAAAAGAAGAACTGTGCAAGTGATTACGGAGAGCAGGAAGCATATTTTAGTGAGCCTAATGCAAGAAAAGCTCATTCTTCAGCCCCTAAGGGCATTTGCCATCTTGTAAAACTGGGATATCACTTCCCAATGATGATGAAGCCTTTGAAATGAAGCTCAGTTGTGTAGTTGTGGGACTTTTATAGCTATAGAGTATCATCTTTGTGGTATTCAATCATTAGGAGTTGATTTCTTTCTATACCTTGGTCTGGATTTGTTATCCTGGATTTGTCACCTGTTACGTGAAAGAGAGAGAAAAAAGGAAACTTGAATGTTTTAAGTAACCATGAGATAAGAATCAAAGTTCCTTAAAATCATCAAAGAGATGGTTAATATGGACTCACATGTGAATATATGAAACTGCTTTGTACAGAATCATAATTGTTCTCCCTGTTCCAGTATTACTGGAACTGACAGCAGTTCCCAGGCCTTTTCAATTATCAATTTTGGTTAGAACTTTAGTGTGTGGGATACTGTTGAAACTCTGCTATTACAAAAGAAAAACTGGACATTATGTAAAAAAAAGCATTTTAGAGCTTTATGTTCATTATTAATGAAAATGACTTTAAATAACATTTAGGAAACATGCTGAAAGTGAAATATAACTGAAAAAGAATATCGTTATGCTGTGAGTTTCTGTCACTTGTTCTACTGATTTAAGCTTACTTAACAAGGGGTCTACAATATATAATTATTGTATATAATCTATATATACAATCTACAGTTTATTTAATTTAGTAGAAACTCCCTCCCCCAAACTAAGAAGATAAACTTAACTGCATTTTTGTATGATAAGGCTTATTTTGGGGAAAATAAGTGAAACCAAATTAATAATTGAAGTTAAATGGTTTATTCAAGAGAAGAAGAAAAAAAGACTCACATAAATGATATACTGTTAGACCACATAGCATTAGTGGGTGTTGTTGAATTAAAGCAATGGATAATATATTACCTCTTTTCCTAACACCTAATTTTTCTTCCTGATGCCTCCCCCTTTTCTCTCTTGTTGACGTTTTCTCTTTTTCCCATCCAGCAGACTCAGATCAACCTTGCATAACTCTGTGAATCAAGTCTTTGCAGACTGCTTTTGAAATAAGGCCAAAGAATGTAAGAAATTAAGGCAAGAACCACATTGGCCACCACCCCTGCTTTATATTAGAGCGATTGTGAAACACATTGTAGAATTGCAGTCCATTCTGCACAGAATCAGATGCATTAAATCAATTGTGCTTAGGAAACCCTAACAGGGCAAACAAGTGAAATTTACAGATTTGCTTTTTAAGTGCACTGATGCCTTGGTAAAGAAATCATTCCAGTAAATAAACAAAAAGTATAACATATATTCTGAGCAATGTTTGTACTTTTTTCGGGTAACGACAACTAATAATAATAATAATAATAATAATAATAATAATAATAATAATAATAATGATAAAGTTGGAAGGGACCTCGGAGGTCATCTAGTCCAACCTCCTGCTCAGGCAGGAAACCCTATACCATTTCGGACAAATGGCTGTCCAGTCTCTTCTTAAAAACCTCCAGTGTTGGAGCATCCACATCTTCTGGAGGCAGGTTGTTCCACTGGTTAATTGTTCTGTCAGGAAGTTTCTCCTTAGTTCTAGGTTGCTTCTCTCCTTGCTTAGTTTCCACCCGTTGCTTCTTGTCCTGCCTCCAGGCGCTTTGGAGAATAGCTTGACTCCCTTTTCTTTGTGGCAGCCCCTGAGATATTGGGACCCTGCTATCATATCCCCCCTCGTCCTTCTCTTCATTAAACTAGACATACCCAATTCCAGCAGCCGTTCTTTATACGTTTTAGCCTCCAGTCCCCTAATCATCTTTGTTGCTCTTCTCTATACTCTTTCTAGAGTCTCAGCATCTTTTTTACATCGCGGTGACCAAAACTGGATGCAGTATTCCAAGTGTGTCCTTACCAAGGCATTGTAAAGTGGTATTAACACTTCACATGATCTTGATTCTATCCCTCTGTTAATGCAGCCCAGCACTGGAGGAGGAGATGATTGCTACAGGTTGCTACGCGCTATATAATCTTTGGACAATTCACGCAAAAATAAAATAAAATAAAATTCAACGAGTAAGAATTTATCCTTAAAGTAAATTTAGGATCGCGGCCTCAAGGCCATTTCTAGGTCAACTGTCATTTCAAGCAGAAACAGTTTAAAGCCGACACATTTAGAAACAACTCCTAGGGATCGTCGGGGCTTTTTCTGCAGGACAACCTGCCGTGCGAGGCCTCTCTGGGGACCAGGTGTCCCAAACTGGCGGCCTCGACTCCTCACCATGGCAACAAGCACACACACACCTTGACACTCCCCTCTCCTCCTCTCCCCCCCCCCCGTGAGAACGCTACGGGAATTCTACCCCTCCCGCCGCCGGGCAGAGCGAGGGTTCCTGGGCACCTACCGGCAGGGCCGGCTCCGCTCCCGCTGGCGGCGGAAGAAGCCGGGGCGGGCGCTTGGCTGTCGTCGCTCTTCGCTGGCCCAAGCTTCGAGCCCTCGCCGGGCCGAATCAAGAGGATCCCGGGGTAGAGGGCGGTCGGGGAGGAAACAAGACAAGGGGGTTACGGTCCCTTTAAGGGCTTTACCTGTCGCCGGCTTGACCCGCTTGCGTAAGTGATCCGGACGTGGAAGTGGGAGGGGAGGACGTGACCCGGAGGTGCATGGTGCGAGGGTCAATATGCCGCTACCCGTCCAAGTCTTCAATTTACAGGTATCGAGGAAGTTTTGAGGGGTCGGTTGCGGGGTTTGGTCGCAGGGCGTGTCTCGTGGTGGCTCGCTGCGTGATTAACGGCGGTGGCGGGAAGGAGCCTGTCTTGGGGGCGGCTGATGAGCAGCTCCGCCGGCGGATCAGCCCATGTGTTATGCTCGGAAGCTCCCCGGGCTGCCTCCTCGAGGAGGGGAGGCGGCGGAGGCACGCGGGAGGCAGGGGCGGCCTCGAGCGAAGACAGATCCGTTACCCGGAGTGCGAGAGGTTGGCCGTGACACCCGCCAGATGGAGAGGCCCCGCCGCCTGGTGCGCTTGGCTCTGCGGCTCCCCTCCCCTTTAAGACCTCCACCTCCCTCCCTCCTTTGCTTCTTCCTTTGATTGTGTGGAAATTGTAGAGGTGACCTCTCGGGGCTGCTGGCTAGCCGAAGGATCAGTCCCGAGTTTCTCACTCCACGTACGGACTGAGAACATGTAACGTGCGTCTGTATGGAAATTCCCGAAACAGAGCGGATAGGCTTAGTTTGAATGCTTTAAGGCAGGGGTCTTCAAACTCGGGCCCTTTTATGACTTGTAGACTTCAACTCCCAGAATTCCTCAGCCAGGCACGCTGGCTGTGGAATTCTGGGAGTTGAAGTCCACAAGTCATAAAAGGGCCCGAGTTTGAAGACCCCGGCTTTAAGGGGTCTGTTTCTGCCTTCATTCCCCCCCCCCGAGAGTTGTGTGGTGACACTACAGCGTAAGTGGGGAAGTAGATATAAATGACTTGTCATGACCAACTGTCTACCCCTACCCTAAATATGAACTGAAAGAGAATTATACTGTAGTACAATTTGCATATTGAAGAGTTGTTTTATTATCTCCTGGTTATGAAATGCAGTGGCCCAGCAAGTGCTGCCACTCAAAAGTTGGAATAAACTGACTGGGTTTTGTTTTTGGGTTTTTTGCTGCTCTTGTAATTGTGCATTTGCTTCCGGAGATGAAAATCAACCAAAATGATGCCTGAAATGTAATGAGAGAAACTGAAGTACCTGTGAACAGACATTTGGGCAAACGGTCCTATCTCCTACGTCAGAAACTTCACCCTTGCTGGTGCGTTAAGAATAGTAGAATCACAGGACAAAAATAAGGATGGAGAAACTTTTTCATCTTTCTGTCTCCTTCCTGGTTACAGTCCTCTGCCCAAAAGTTCTCTTTTGTTTCTCAGAGGGTTTTTGGTCTTTCTGTTGTTGATTTTAACTGATGCCCGAAACCAACAACCTTGAAAGATGACAACAGAGGGAGGAATTTGGATGTTGAATTTTCTCTCTGATCAGTATCTCCTAAAACATTTTTCAAATGTCATAGGTTTGCAGCATTAAGAAAAGTCTTAGAAATCACAATTTTTACTTGCCCCTCCCCAAAACCCCTCCTCATCTTTCTTACCTTAGAGATGCCATGTATTTTTCTAGCTCCTCTAAGGGCATTATGGAAAGTTTTCTGCGCCCAAGTTCATATTACCATGTCACAAGTTTCATGAAATGTATCTGTTCTGATTTTACTATTTATAATAGAGTATATAGGTAGTTGTGCATCCAAGCCAGTGGATTTGACACTTGTTACTTGTTTAATGTAGCACATAAAGGCTAATTCTTTATAACCTTAAGATGGATATTATAAAGGCCTACGGTAAAAGCGAAAGAAAGCCAGTTCATATTATTCTAAGCCTACCATGAATTATAGCTGTTTATGACTGCAGGGGCATTAACTTCCTTTCTTTCCTTTAGCAGCTGGCGAGCTCTGTGTCAGGGCGAGGGGGTACAGAGAGTCAGGACAGGATGAGGGATAGTTCAGTTCCAAGCTCAGCTTCCTCGTCAGTGACAGATCTATACAACACTCCCCGCAGCAGTAGGTCAGACCTCTTCCTCCCAGGTACATCTGGAGACTTCAGCCTGAGTGCCTGCTTATCAGCCTGCACCCTACTTTATGAGGTATCTCAAAGGAGAAAGCACTCAAGGATGTCTGAGTGAGAATGACTTGAGTTTTATCAACATTAAGGCATATTCTTCTTTTATTTTATTTTTTTTAAAAAAACCCTCCTTTCTGTGAATTGGATGTATTTCAAATAATAAAGGATTTTATCACATGCTGTTGAGCTGCTAGTAAAGATATTTGTCTCCCATTGTCTAAGAATAGTTTGTCTGCAGAATCGAAGCAATGGGCGACACTATAATTTTCCACAGCAGTTTTACAGCTTTACTTTGTTATGTATGTAATTTATGTATTTTAAACATTTTTCTACTTTTAAGTAGTGATTTAAACACAACAATGCACATCTATTTTTTTTTCCTTAACAAATGTCATTACTTAAAATCAAAGCAATTGACATTAACACAACAGCAGGATCACCCGACTATAAAAGCTAAGAAAACTGCAAGACTGGTTTGGGACCCATTGTTTCATGGTGGGTGGGAGGGAATGCATAGATGAGGTACTGGTATGAAGAAGGCTGTCCCTTTAGAAATAATTACCCATCTTTTATTAGAACAGGGATAAGTGGTCCAGAGACAGCATATGGCTCCTATATTGTTTTGGTTTGTTTTTAGTGGCCTCCAGAGATCACATAGTTGAAATTTGGCAACAAATTGCTGAGTAATAAAGCACAGCATTCTAATCCCTAGAAATAAAAACAATATGTGCAAAAATATAGTCTAGCAGGAACCTTTTCTGCAGTTCTCATAGACTCCATAGAATGGGAGAAGCCAAAAAGCTAGGCCTTTTTAGATAGTTTTTGGAGAAGCTGGGTTTAAGAAATATTGCCTTACAATATTTCATCTCTTAAAACTTCCAATAATTCTTTCCAAAATTGAGTTGTGCTTTTTACTCTCCTAGGTTTTGAAGTATGCCATTAATATATCATTATAGTTTAGTACTGTACATTAATGGAGCTGACAGAAGGAGGGCTCCTTGGAGTGGCCATTAGATGAGCATTCTGTTGCGTGGTGTCATCATGATATTGCCCTCTCCAATGTGACATTCAGGCACCCCCAATTAAAAGAAAGTAGTACTTTGCCATAAAAAGCTTATTCACAAAAGACAAGGCACCCCCAAAAAACAAGGTCTAAACGATCAAGAAGATTCATAAATAAATAGTCTGCCCTTTCTATATGTTCAGATACCCCATCTTTAATCATAAAGAACTCAAATTACGTTTTCTTCTTCTAAAAAGACTATATACTGTGAAAAAGTACATTTTTCTTGAAATACCTTGTTTGTATAATATGCATTTCATATGCAGAGAATGCAGATTCTCAGTGGGAAAAGCCTTGGGCAATACAAATGGCTTTGAGAGAGGTTTTGGAGAGTTTCTGCTAACCAGACAAGACGAGGGTTATGAAACCTGTGGCCCTTCACATGTTGCTAGGTTAGTTACTTCAGTCCCAACCTTCCTAACTAGTGGATATTTCTAATAGCAAGTGTAGTCAAATGGCATTTGCAGAACTTCAGATGCCAATCTACATTCTATTAAGATATATTGACCAATGATCTGACACTGATACTATATCTTCAAATGTTCATCTAAATTTGGTGGCTCCAATGTCTGCAAATGGAATAAATCTGTAAAGTCTGGTTTTTATCACTATTTCATTATCCAGACCATTTGAGGCATATGGTTAATTGGAAAAAAACAATTATCTCAGCTTAGATGAATGCCGTAAACCTTGGGGTGGTGGTGTTCAGGTAGCTAATTTATAATCACAGAAGGCTCTGTGAAATTGAACATTCTATTGTCCAGCCTTTTAATGTATCCTTTGAAATAATAGGGTTCAGGTGAAAAGTCACAATAGCAGTATTTATTTCTTCAATTTATATAGCCACCCATCTCACCTAAATGACTCTGGAAGACTCACAACATTATCTCTTCACATAAGAATACAATTAGGATCTCATGGCAATAAAGTTTTCTTTGGATCAAAGATTTTTAGTCTGTCTTTGTGAGGCTTATGTCTCATCAAAACAATTTTCTAATTAAAGTAGGTAAAATATCCTTCATTTTCTGCTTAAAACGACAAGCTCTTAAACCCGTTTTTGTTGATTTACAATTAAAAAAAGGATTTAGAAATAAAGGAACCTTGTTAGGGCTGCATTTGCCTCTTGGTTCACTGTGGTCTTTGGGTTAGGGCAGGGGTAGGCAACCTTGGCTCTTTTATGACTCGTGGACTTCAACTCCCAGAATTCCTGAGCCAGCATGGCTCAGCTTGGAAACCTCTCCCTTTCCCCTCAGCCTGGCTGGCTCAGGAATTCTGGGAGTTGAAGTCCACGAGTCATAAAAGAGCCAAGGTTGCCTACCCCTGGGTTAGGGTATTGGGTTGCCCTGTGTGGTTATAAATCAAGAGTGCAACCTATGATATCATATTCAACTCCCACTGTCACACCACAGAAGAAGATTGGTAATAGGTAGGCGGTCATGCTATAAGACTAATTTTCTTTCATTTCTCATTGGTAAACTTCTAATAAACTTCCAAGGAAGCCTAGATTCTCTTGAAACTCTTGCTTTCCTATCCTTATGGGCTTTCTAAAGGAACTCAGTTGGCCAGAGCATAGAATAAAAATAGGACTTTGATATGATCTAACGAGATTCCTGATACTGAAGTTCTTTAGATCAAGATTATATCAAATAAGTGTGAAAGATGACATCTGTGGAGGTTCAGACATGGTTTTAGACTTAATTGTGCTTTTGTCATGGTTCATATTTAGCTCCCTTTGTTATAAATAGTTTTACTTTTCTTTGCATTTATAGCCATGTTTCTGATGTGTGTATGCTTGCTTGATTTATCCATAGTGTATAACTTTGTAAATTTTTATGTATGAAATTGTAAATCTGCATTTGCTCATGCCATGTAAAGTTACTGCTCTTTGTTTCAGTTGTTGAGAAAATTCGTGATGAGGGCAGTCTTGCCCTCTCCCCAAAGTCTGAAATGCCCACTTATAAATCCAGCCCTGAGCTTGGATAATGAGCTACGTATTGCAGAATAACAATAATAATTTCAGACTATTATTTCATGTTTCAGCCTTGTGGAGATACAGTATATTCAGTACTGTATACATTATACGCATGTGTGCTCTTGGATTTGACTGAATTTTTTTTCATAAAGATTTAAGTTGATTTTCTTGTTAACAATTATTTCCATTCATTATGAATGAAAATAAAAAGTATACCTAGAATTTTCTATGACTTCTATGAAACAATATAAACTTTAGATAATCAGCTGACAAGCCAGAAAAACATCCCAATTTAATTATCCTAAATTCTGTTAATTTCTTTCCCAATATAACATTGTTCCATTTGCTCACCATAAGAACAAACTTTGTAGACATTGATATATACTTGGTACGTATTAAACTGCCTTTTTTGGTTCAGAAAATGGTTAATCATCTCCGTTTTATTATTGGGAGCAAGGAAATCTGTTGAGTGACATAGTGATACAAAGCGAGAGTAGCATTTCTGGCAGGCCTGGAAAAGAACTTCATGGAGTGAAAATCCTAAATTATAGATGCATTGCTTAAATGTCAAGTTTATTTATGTTTGCTGGTGCATGGGAATCTTCCCCTTGGGGCTGGGAGGGAGACTCCTCATTTCTGTTTCACTCACATGCTTTGCTGTTACAGGGTGCGGTAGAGCCCATGCAGATTGATGTAGATCCCCAAGAAGATCAGCAAAATGCACCTGATATCAACTATGTGGTGGAGAACCCAACTCTGGTATGTGCTTGAGGGCAAAAATGACAGAACGGGCTTCTTAGAATTGTCTTCCAAAACCCAGGTTCTCCATCAGTCCTTCATTTAAGCAAATGCTATCTGTTCATTGTTTTACTTGTAACCTTTGCTTATACAGTATATTGAGGAAAATTGATTTACATTGTCAGTTAAAATGGCGGGCGAGGGGGAGTTGAATCACAACTGCTAGAAACTCTTTCACATTGGGTAACAAAAACAGTCCACCGTTTTCCTCTTCTTCTATTGATAAAGTGACTTTTGAGTGGAGCTTAACTATTAGGAGACCTTAAGAAGATACCTGTGTTGCTTTAGTGGCACCAGTAGAGAAATAGGTTGCCATTGCCTTCTTCCAGGATGCTTTTTCAGCTTCCAGTCTTACAAGTATCAGCCAGCTTAACTTTTTGAGACTGATGGTGCTATCCGCTTGTCCTATCTCATATAACTATCAGTGCTTGAGTTGTAAATTTAAAACAAATTTCTTATATTTAGGTAGTGCTTTTGATTATAAACCTTACAGTAGCCCTATAAAATAGGTCAGGATTAACCCCATATTGGGAATAAAATTACCAATGTCTAGATCAACTTCATATGTATTGCCTCAAGAGAGAAAAATCATTACTGTGATAACTGTACCTACTAGTTCTTCTTTGTCTGTTCTACAGTCTTGGAGAGTGTCATCATCATATGAGCTTTTACAGCATCGAGGTTAAGAACTTGGCTAGGAGTAGAAAAATCTTAGCTCAAGTCTATTCATCCTTAGCCACAAAAGCTGGTTGACTTTGGGTCAGTCATTCTATCTCAGCCCACCATACCTCACAAAGTTGTTGTGGGAATAAAATAGGTGTACTGTTTTATCAGCTTCCTCAGTGGGCCCAGTTATTACTTTTTTTTTCTTTTTGGAGATAAAAAAATGATGTATGTAGTATGATATGATCCAGTGTATTAATTCTACAAAGAATGTTGATGCATAGATATCTGTTCCACAGATTACAGAATGTAACAAAAAATGTCCAATTTGGATAATTGTCATTAAAAAACAAAAATTATCCAAGAATGATTCATGCATGCTTCAGGATCTAGAGCTAGGAACTCTATGGTTCCTCTATAGCAGTGTTTCTCAACCTTGACAATTTTAAGGCATGTGGACTTCAACTCCCAGAATTCCACAGCCAGCAATGCTGGCTGTGGAATTCTGGGAGTTGAAGTCCACATGCCTTAAAATTGTCAAGGTTGAGAAACACTGCTCTATAGTTATTGGACTAAAAAGGAGCAAGGAGCCTAATAGTTGGGCTAGTACTCACTACAATCTTTGATCTCTTCATTCCGGCTGGGGCATTCAGGATCTGGAGCAGTATGCAGCAAGTTACAGTGGCCTGATGAGGATTGAGAGACTGCAGTTCATTGCTGACCATTGCCCACAGCTGCGAGTGGAAGCCCTGAAGATGGCACTCTCATTTGTCCAAAGAACATTCAATGTGGATGTTTATGAAGAGATTCACCGAAAATTGACTGAAGCTACCAGGTACTAAGATGAAGAAGAGTCTTGAGAAGCTTGTTGGGGATGCACAGTACTAAATATAAACAGCGCATACAGCCTATAAGTAGAGCAATGGGAGCTAAGCAGATACCGGCTAACATAGCTGAATTGAGGTTGATACATCCAATCACATGCGGGCAGCGAACTGACGGACCTATTACATGCTTGATGGCCAAATCACCGATACTTAAAGGGCTATAAAAAACAATGTCTCTCCAATGTTAGCTTACACTTTGACAATGTTAGCAGTGGCTAATGAACGCTTATAATATATATAGTGTTTGTATTTGTGTGTGTGTGTGCGTGTGTGTCTTTAGCTGACTGACTTTGCGTCAGTCAACTATAACTATATCTGTGTGTGTGTTTACCTACATATATACATACACACACACACACATATATATATAGGGAGAGAAATAGAGAGAATGTTAATAACCAGCATACAGCAAGATAAATTACAGTTAAATGTAATAAAGCATTCATGCAAATATGAATGACATGAATTAAATATTGCATGGATTATGAATATTATATCTAAAAAATCTATAAAAGTAAGTAAACCTATTAGCTTATGACAGTTTTTTAAAAAGATTATTCTGGTGTTTTAAAACTAACATTTATAACAATGTGCAACAAACTATAGGATGTAAATTATCATTTCTAACACAAAATCTAATAGATACAAAATACTACGGCACAGATTTCATACAGTTTTCCCTGAAACAAGCACACACCCCTTTTTGATATCTGTAGGTAATATAGCAAAATTGAAAAGCATTCCAGGAAACTATATTGTGCCTTTTAGATAATGGAAACTAAAGATAATAAGTCTGGATGCTCTGGAGAATTTCCTAATAGCATGCATAAATATCCTTATAAAAGGGGCAGTTCAGAAGAAAATGAGCAACTTTCTCACCATTACCCGTTCTGCATGGGCAAAGCTGCTAATTGTAAGATATTCTCTTATACTTCCAAGTCAACTGTTGGTAAAATGTTAAATTGTGCTAACATCCTACCTTACCTATATTTAGATACTGCAGTCTGTCTAAGGCAGGGGTAGGCAACCTTGGCTCTTTTATGATTCGTGGACTTCAACTCCCAGAATTCCTGAGCCAGCATAGCTGGCTCAGGAATTCTGGGAGTTGAAGTCCACGAATCATAAAAGAGCCAAGGTTGCCTACCCCTGGTCTAAGGTATTTGGCTGTATTGAAATTGAAGGTGGAACGCTGACATTTTCACTTAGGACTATTATTGCCATATTCCATTCCCACGGACATTTTGCAGTACCATGTGTATGTACAAAAAGTAGGAAGCCCTGGGAGAGGCCCCCTATTAGCCAGATGACTGCATGCAGAAGGTTACCATTTTTGCTCAGCTCTTGCATATGGTTTCAGTTTGGGATCCTCCTTTACATCTTTAGAGCCACTCGTGCACCAGTAGAAAGGGAGCCCTTTCATTTGCTTTCTGATATTTTGATGAACCAAGCATCAGAATCAAGCATAGCTGAGAGTGTTTGCTGTTTAAATAAAATCTCAGCTAGCCGGGAGGTAGAGCATAGTTAGGCTACTAAAGTCAGTTTTTGATTGTCTTGGCTCTTTGTTTACCTTCTTTGCTTAAATCACAGATATTTTGCTATTCCTCCCTCAAATTGTGAAGCAAAGAGATCTGTCTTGTTTTTCTCTCTGTAGTAGTTTTCCGATATGTCATCCGTTTTAGTTCCCATCAACCCGTTCAGCGCAGCCTGTGGCAAGGCATTATGGGAGTTCTATATATCAGTAGAACTTCTTTTCTGAATGTAGAGTTTCACTCTTCAAAATATCAATATTGTCTAGAGCCAATTGATGTACTCCTAATGCATTACTACGATCCTTCTCAATTCTTGTAGCTTGTGGCAGTATATAGGTCAGTGGTGGTGAACCTATGGCACGGGTGCCAGAGGTGGCACTCAGAGCCCTCTCTGTGGGCACGCATGCCATCGCCCCAGTCCTAGGCCTTCAGCTCGATTTTATAAAACTTTTTCGCTTCAGGCCTCTGCCGCCATGTGTAAAAAAAAAAAGGTTCAGTCAATTTCAACTTCTCGCGGGAAAAAAAGATCTTGCAAAGTTGGAATTGATTGATTGAACTTTTTAGTCCCACCCAGTCTGCCGTTACCACCGCAGCCACGCCTACCCAATGGGCCACGCCCACCCAATTGGCCACGCCCACCTGGCACTCGACGATGCATAAGTGGGTTTTGGGTTGCAGTTTGGACACTCAGTCTCTAAAAGGTTTGCCATCACTGGTATAGGTTTTTGTTATATCTGTAGGTAACAGATGATTCTGTGTCCCTGTACACTTTGTGTATCTACTGTTTTCTTTTTTAGAGAGCTGCAGAACACACCTGACGCTGTCCCAGATGGTGGGATAGAGCCTCCTCCTCTAGACACAGCGTGGGTCGAGGCTACACGCAAAAAAGCTCTTCTCAAACTGGAAAAGTTAGACACGGATCTTAAGAATTATAAAGGAAATTCAATCAAGGAAAGCATCAGGTGATACTAAGGAAATTAACAAATAAAAAAAGAAGAAAAGAAATTGGAGTTGGTAGTTACGAATTTGTAAAACTAAGTCCAGAATAACATTTTAAAGTGTCTTTTGGAATCATTTGATGGGCTGCATATTCTTCAAATGGCATTTTCTTGAATGTATTGTTTACAGTTTTCTGATACATGTTGCCGTGAAATAAAACCATGAGGGAACATTTGTGTAGAAAATGCTACACATTTCCTTTTCACTTGAAAAGGTTTTTCCATAATCTGTAGTCACATTTCTCAAATGTGTCTTGAGAAAGGAAATTGAATGACTGAACTGTTTTTCTCTCATTTCCAAGAATTAATAATTTGCTCACCGTATTTTTATTCTAAACATGTAATATGTGAGACACAGTTTATCCCCAATATAATTTTTTTTCCTTCTGACCCACATTCTTCCTAATGCTGCTACTTCTTATTCCCACTCTCAGATTTTGCAGTGCATGTATCTTACACTCTTCTTCATGTAATATACATTTGTTGACTGATAATCTGCATAACAGTTGTATTCCTCAGCAATGGTGGGTCTTATTCATGGTAGCTTTTGAATAGTTTTGCAAATGTTCAGAAGAGGCAATGGAACTGTTTAGCCATGAAGCACAATAGATTTTTGTAATAGAAGCATAATAAATAAGTATACTTGATCTTCATTTTTAGTTTTCTATGGAAATGCTGACGCTAAGTATCTGCCAGAAATACATAAAAACATTGTTCACCATGTGTTACCCAGTAGTTAGACTTTTTGGACAAGGGCGAACAATGTTTAGGATTATGTATTTCTGACGCTTACTTGTTTATAGCTGACACGTACCTTCTTTTTAGGAGAGGCCATGATGACTTGGGAGATCATTACCTTGACTGTGGAGACCTCAGCAATGCCCTTAAATGTTATTCACGAGCTCGTGATTACTGCACCAGTGCAAAGCATGTTATTAACATGTGCCTCAATGTTATCAAGGTAAACAGCAATTTATCTCACAGTCCTTTATTTGGGGAGGGGAGACTAGTAGAATTTAATCTCTGTTCAAGATAGGCTTCCCCCCCCCCAACTCATAATTAACATATAAACCTTCCTTCCTTCCTTTCCTATCTTTGCATTTCAAGTTTTCCCATCAGTGCTTTTCATGAGGTCTCAATGAGTCAGTAATGGTAGGCTACTACAACTCCTCAGGAAAGGTCTCTTTTCACAATTACAGCACACAGTAGAACTTGTCAGATATGTCTGGACTTGTTTCTTTGCAGGTCAGTGTTTATCTTCAAAACTGGTCCCATGTCCTGAGCTATGTGAGCAAAGCAGAATCCACGCCAGAGATTGCAGAGGTAGTAAGCTTTTTCCATCTCATCTGTTGCAATACATTCCAGTGATCGACTCAAGATCACCTGCTGACTTTCCCAAGCAAATGGGAATTTGGAATTAGCTCACTCCGATTTAGTCGTATGCTAGATCGTGCTAATTCCTCGTTTGCCTTTAGTTGCTCTGTTTTGATCTGCTGATAAAAATATAGTCCTCTTTGTGATGCTGCATACTGTTTTAACTTGTAGAAGGATTGTTAGAGCTATTTAATTAATAATGAACTTGGAAATAGACGTGAGGTTCAGATTCCCTTATGAAAAGAAGCAGAGATTCAATTTCCTCATTGGCTTCCATGATAATGTGTTACGCACATGATCCCTGTTTAGAGCTTTGAATGGATCCATCTGCCTTTCAGATGTGCTTTTGATCCGTGCCAAGGGGGAAAAAAAACAACAGAGAACAGAATTGCTTCCTCAGAAAAGCTTAATGGAATGAACTAGCTAATATATTATTGCTCATTTGGTGATTTTCCTCCCTCCTTCCTGTCTAGCAAAGAGGAGAACGGGACAGTCAGACACAGGCCATCCTTACCAAATTGAAATGTGCCGCAGGTGAGAAAATGGTTTGCTTGCTTAACTGATGTTGTCCTTAGTGGTAATGGTTGTGTCCAAGCAGTGCAATGTACTAGCGAAATTTGCCTTTCCAATATCTCTCCCTACATTGTAACTGGACAAAAAAACCCAAGTCAGTCTCTATTCCTAGAAACTATTATTAATTTAAGAGGCTCTCCCTTAGGTTTCTGTGTGACCCCTGGCCTTCTCTTTTTTCCCAATTCATCTGCACAAAAGAGTAACTTAATCTCATTCTCAGGCTTGGCTGAACTAGCTGCCCGGAAGTACAAGCAGGCAGCAAAGTGCTTCCTGTTGGCCTCATTTGATCACTGTGACTTCCCTGAGGTGAGGATGTGGAAGAGATGTGAGCTGGCAAAACAGTGGGGTTTAATGTGGAGGAAATGGCACGTACGAGACCCTCTGTGACCTTTTCCAAGCTAAATCTGGAGAGATCAGCTATTTTTTTCTCCTTGTTTTTTTTCTGGGAAGGCCACCTCCTCTTTTCCTTGGAGACCTGGGGAGAGGATTCAGGCAATCTTGGGCTCTTTATCTCTATTCTTTAGAGGCTGTCCCTTCTCTCTTTTTTTCCAGCTGCTCTCTCCTAGCAATGTAGCTGTATATGGTGGCCTGTGTGCACTAGCAACTTTCGACCGACAAGAATTGCAACGTAATGTCATCTCCAGCAGGTAAATGATCTGTGGAACTTTGATGATGAAATAAACTAAATTATAATGGACGTGTTAGTGGATTTATTAATGGGAGCAGACAAATGGCAAGAGTGAAAGAGATTATGTAGTCTCCCTCAGCTTGTGTCCACCATACTCAATTTTAATTTCTTCCGATTACTTTTCCTTGGTACTGGTAGTGCTCATGACTGGTCAATTATGGTCATATGTCAAGGACTACCTGTAATTTTAAAAAAGGCAGAATGAAGAATTATAGACTTATTCCGATCCGAGTTCAGATTTTAGACCGTCATGCCTTTCCACTGCCATTCCCGTTGGCTCTTGAGACAGTAGTTACTCACAACCTTGTAGAAATGATCACACAATCAAAATGACTTTCCCATTGAATAGAATTGCCCTCTTTGAAAGAGACATAAATGATGACTAGACTGGGTTGTGTGAATCCTTTTGTATCTGCAGCTCCTTCAAACTGTTCTTGGAGCTAGAGCCACAGGTGCGTGACATCATCTTCAAGTTCTATGAATCCAAATATGCTTCATGTCTCAAGATGCTGGATGAGATGAAGGTATGTCCTAGAGTTTTAGTGTTTTAGTTTTAGCTTCAACAGCATTTGAACTGTGAGAACCCTTTCTTAATTGGGCAAAGATACTCTTGTCTCAGAAGCATAAGCAAGCCTGGCTTAGGAAGGGGTAAATGAAAGACTTCAGAGATAATACCAAGTCATAGTCTGGGGGGTACAAGAATTTCTGCCTTTCTTGCATGTTAGCCTTAACTACATTCTGTTTCAGTGTGTTCAGGTAAAATGTTATCACAGGCTACTGGGCATTAAGCTCAGTCTGAAAAATAGAAAAATATGTTATAGCTATGTATTCTTATAGATATACACAGATTCCTATTAAATATCTTTTGAAAAAAATTCAGGAAAGCAAATAAATGTTGCTAGAGGAAGAGACTGCCCATATAAAGCTGTTAAGCTGAAATTGTACAATCTTGAGAGTTAGTTCAGCTACATGTATAAGATTTGTCTTTTGTCGTCTTACTATCTCTTTCAAAAAATTGTCCTGGCATGCTTTGGATGTTGTTATTGGGGGTTTTTTTTAGACTGGCTTGTTCGGAAAAAACCATGGAAACAGTTAACAGTTTTGGATATTCTTTTCCTCCGTTATTACAGTTACTTCCAGTTCTCCCAGGTTAATAGCAAATTATTAGAAAGCGATTAATGGATGTTATGGTAACTCCAAAGGAAATGTGGCAGTGCCTTGGTAAATCTTATTAGGTAGATCCAGTGTTTCTTTTCTGTTTACTAGTAACATTTTGCAAACACTAGAAATGATTGCTTTATAGAGCAAAGCTTTGGAAAGCTTTATGTCCATTCTTCTTTCTATTCTGGACAGGATAACCTACTATTGGATATGTACCTGGCACCTCACGTGAGAACGCTTTACACCCAGATACGAAATCGGGCCCTTATCCAGGTAGCTGTCTTTACCTGTGGCTGCATTTTGACATTCCTTTGTTCCTTTTTTTCACTGAATACAGTGCAGAGTCACTCTCAGAGTATTTCTCTGTCTCTGTTTCTTTCTTGACTTTTCCCTTTATTTCCAGTATTTCAGCCCTTATGTGTCAGCAGACATGCGCAGAATGGCCACTGCTTTCAACACTACTGTGGCAGCTCTGGAGGATGAGCTCACTCAGCTGATCCTGGAGGGGCTAATAAATGCCAGAATAGACTCCCACAGCAAGGTGAGTCCCTGTCGTGCAAGTGCTTCTAAGTGTCTCTGGCCACTGCTGGAGGCCAATGGCTAGCTAGAAAGAATGAACTTAATGGTTTGCACATTGTAATTAACGCCATACAGGCAGTCCACAGCTTATTGGGCCCCACAATTGATCCCACCCTTTCTGTTGCTGAGGAAGACAGTTGTTAAATGAGTTTTACCCCATTTAATGTCCTTGCTTGGCACAGTTGTTAAGTGAATTGCTGTAGTTATCAGAAGATCACCAAAGGCGATCAAGGACACTACAGCCGTCATAAATACATGCCAGTTGCCAAGCATCCAAATTTTGATCATGTAACCAGAGGGATCCTGCAGTGGTTGTAAGTGTGAAAAACAGTCATAGGTCACTTTTTTCAGTGCCGTTGTAACTTTGAAAGGTCTCTAAATAAATGGTTGTAAGTTGAGGACTAACTGTGGTCTGGAATATTGTAGCCAATATAAGAATCTGGATATTGTAAACAAGGTATAACTTCTGGGTACAAGAAACCCTGCTTTGGTTTAAGTAATTATTTAAAGAAAAAAATTATTTTGTTTCTACGTAAAAAGGTCTCAATTCTTTTGGCTTTTAAATTTTCGGAAGATGCTTTTCTCTATTTCATTTCCCCCAAGAAATGCTAGAAGGGCTGTTGCTTTTTGTTACCCAGAGACCCCGTGGCACTCATTTGCTGCTCCTCTTCGTCTCTGAATAGTCTTTGTTCCTCCCCCCCCCGCTACCTGATCTTATTCTGTAGATTTTGTATGCCAGAGATGTTGACCAACGCAGTACTACCTTTGAAAAGTCCCTACTCATGGGAAAGGAGTTTCAGCGTCGCGCCAAAGCTATGATCCTACGAGCTGCTGTCCTGCGTAATCAGATCCATGTGAAGGTGAGCAAAAATGCCCTGCATTCTCCAGGGGGTTGCATCTTCACGGGCCAGCATCAATCAGCCGTTGATGTAAATATAAATGAGAGCATTTGAGCCGAGCTGATGAGCGGAACGAGGGCGAGCAGTTCCTGTGCATCTCCTGAATTATTTTAGCTGACGCTTAAATATTTGAAGGTCTCAAGCAGGTTAGGTAAGACTTTCATCTTTCTTAGAAGTATCTTATTATTTGAATACAAAGTTGCCGTGAAGGTAAGAAGAGCCTTGCTGCATTAAGCCTAAGGCCTTTCTGGTCAAATTTTCTGTTCTGTAAAAACCAAATATACTTATCCACTTGTGGATCTGATGATAATAGCCATTTTTTCAATCTGGCTCCCCAGGTTGGGCTACAAGGAACTTTGCCTCTGACTGTAGCTCTGGTATACACCCTCAAGATTAAGAGCAGTTTTCACTCCCCAAATCCCTCTAGTTCCACTTCAAAAGTGTCTTAGGTTTGAGTCCATTGTACATGTTGTAGCAATGAATGACTTTGTTTTATTATGTATCGTACACAGTGGTTCCTGCAGCAGGAAATGACAAAATGAACATAATCCAAAGGTGGATTTTTCTTGGCAGATCTACCGAAAAGATGCAGGAAGAGGAGAGGGCTATGCAAGGCATTTGAAAGAAACAGAGCTGGGAATGGATTTTGAAGTAGTTGTGTGACCCTAGCAATAGACATAACGGCTTGAACTCTTCAGAGGAAGAGGGCTTCACTCGCACACATTACAAAACCCTTCTTTCAAAAAGTTTTGCCCAGCCTTAGGAGAGACCTTTATCCTTGGGGCCCTAAATCCTCAGTTTCCCTTAACTGTGTTATATTTTGTGAGACAGCCCAAAAGGTGGGGTTCTTTTACCACTACCCCCCTTTTTTTTCCTGAAGGAGTAAAACTATGTCTCTAAATGCCGCCTAATCTTTTAGTCCTAATTATTCCATTGATCTGGTTTTGGCTCCTTGGGGGTTTCCTTCACTTGCCTGCTGCTGTGGCAACTTGTGGAATGGGAGAGAAGCTTTTTTTTCCTAGCTGATTACTTACTGGGCCTTGGGTCTCTCTCTCTTGCCTTGTTACAGTCTCCTCCACGAGAAGGAAGCCAAGGTGAACTCACTCCAGCAAACAGCCAGTCCCGGATGAGCACCAACATGTGAAGCTCTCTGAGCCAGCAAAAGACTGTCCCTTCCCTCCCTGCCCCACATACCCAGGGCCATGTGTACCCAGTATCCACAACATCAACTGTCCCTCGGTGCCTTTCGGACTCTCTGGCTGGGGGGCGGGGGCGGGGAGGGCAAGACCGTTGAAGGCAAGCTTTGAGAGTCTGAGAACTCCTTTTAGAACAACGTTCGTCAGATGCAGCCCTTTGAGAATATGCAAGCCTGCGAGTGCTGGCTTCATCCTATCCTTCCCAGGGTTTCTCACAAACAGAAGCTGATCTTGGTTTCATTCAGCTGCCAAAAGAGCTTTGTTGTTTTTGTTCAGTAAAAGATAAATAGCATGAATCTCGAGGACATGTGTGTTCGTGCAGAACTTCTCATTTGTACGAATGCATCGTCTCAGACCCTGAGAGTCTCTTGGACAGCATCACAGGAAAGCAGGCATCCTTTCCATTTATTCACTTCAAGGCTGTGTTTTTATTCACCTGGAATCAGCTCCATTTTAATCTGTTCTTCCTGGGTTTGTTTTTTCTAAGGGTGTGTGCTCTGGCTTGTTTTCACATCCCCAGACCTCAGTTGAATAGTTGGTTCCTTTGATAATCCCTGCTCCAAATGGGGTGCGGTGGGGGGAGACACATGTGGAATTGTCTCCCTCTGCACTTGGGCAGGTCCTGCCTGCCTGCCTGCACTGTTACTTTCCTTTTTAATTTACTTTATAACAAAAGGGGTATGTGGTCACAGGCCTGACTCAGATTGTGTTGCGTTAACAAGCGTAGGTTGAGTGTTTGAGTGTTCCACAGTTACTTACATTTGGGGAGGTTCATTGGGGTTCATCCCAAGGAAGCAGTTACAAATTTGGATCTAACTCTTGGCCAATTTATCTACTTTTCCCAGACACTGTTAATGTTGTTTAGTTTAAAGCCACATTCTCTCCTATGCATTAAAAACATAATTGCAATGATAACTGCAGATCTGAGCATTAATTCTTGCTCTCCTCCACAAACTCAGCTCAATTATACTCTAGTATAGGTATCTGAAGGGTGCAATTCTGAAATTAAGGATTGATTGAATTATAATCCCAGATGATATTGAATACATCTTTTTGTGGACCCTTTAATCCTAGTGTATCATACCATACCATTTTTATAAAAGTATGGAAACAAATCAGTGAGACGGTTGATCCATATTTAATCTACATAATTTAATGGGAGCTTTACAAGTAGTACTATACAACATTTAACATACTTCATTGCAAAATATGTAAGGTTTCCTTCCCTTTCTTTAAAGAACCCATATGCATTTAGTGCTGAAATATTTTGAATTTTCCTCATAGACTTCAAGGCAATGTGTATATAGTGTGACATAAAGGACCCTTGAAAACGAACAGTAGGTAAAACTAATCACTGAAGATAGCATAATGTAATAAGCACATCATTACTTTAGACAAGCTTAAACTAAACTGCCTAAGCCAAATAATTTTAACCCAGTATTGAAAACAAATGACTCTGCAGTATATAAACCTTGACTTTTCTTAATCTGCTGAGTCATATTATATTATGGGTCAAGTTGGGGGATGGTTTTTGGGTTTCTTAAATGTTGAGATTTTCAGAATTTAAAAGGAGGTTTCTTACTTCCGTTGCTCACAGACACAGTTAAAAATGAAATTACAACCCTTTCCCAATACTGTTCTATATGTGTTGGCCTTCTTCAGTTCTTGAGAAGCAGTTTTTTGGAATAGTTATATAACTTAATTATTAGTAGACTTAGCAAGCTGCTGCTGCTTTTGTTAGAAGATATTTCACTTTCCTGATTTTTTTTCATTTTATCTATGTTCCATACATTTCTTTGGTCTCTAATAGATGCTCCTTCCTAACAAAATAGTTGGTTTTTGAGGCAATGGGTAAGGTACAGCCTGAGTTAACATGAAGTCTAGTCTGAAGATACCTAACCATAGGGCTTAGTGTGAAACTGCATAAGAATCTGATGTGCAATATACACAGTACAATAAGGAAAGATACATATTGTTTTCAAGTCTGTATGGAATGCCAGGTGTATGGAATGCCAGGATTATTTATACTGAGCAAACCTATCTACTGTTTTAGCAGGTTTTCAGCATCTTATGTCACTGGTATAAAAAGGGAGTTCTATGTCCTTTCTAGGTATGGGGATGCTCTCTGGATGCTCTCCCTAAGGAAAAATTTCATGAGAAACAAACTATAATTCTGAGAATATTACAGATAGTCCTCAACTTATGGCCACAATGGAGCCCAAAATTTCCATTGCTAAGCAAGGCAGTTGTGAGTTGCACCTCATTTTATGACTTTTTTTTGCCACAGTTGTTAAGTGAATTACTGGTTTGTTAAGTGAATCATGCCATCATTAAGTGAATCTGGCTTTCCCCGTTACGTAGCTTGTCAGAAACTGACTGGGAAAGTTATAAATGGTGATCACATGACTTCGGGACAGTGTAACTGTCATAAATCAATGCCATTTTGATCACGCACCCATGAGGATGCTGCAATGGTCATAAGTGAATACTGGTAATAAGTCACTTTTTTCAATGCTGCTTTAACTTCAGTCACTAAATGAATGGGTTGTAAATCGACAAACGGTACCCAGTCCTGTTATGTGGTCGTATTTTAAAGATTTCCTGGCTTTTGGGAAGATAGGATGTGACATCCCTAAGGATCTCACGTACCTTAACAGAATACTTAACTCTTTTGTCTCCAAACTCATAGCCATTCTGTTGGCAGTCATAACTTTAATCCACTAACAGTGGTTTAATTTTATCAAACTATAGAGTTTTAGAAATGTTTGAAGATATATTGTGCCAATGACGTATGAATCAACAAATCTTCAACTCATAACAATGCTGCGGGTCTTTGGGTTTAATTCACTTAAAGCCTTCAACAGCTTTTATTACAAGCTGTTTTGGACTGTGTGAGAAGGCAAGCAAGAAGCAACTTTAAAAATCAAATATACAGGACAGAGTGTAAGTGTAAATCTGCAGTAAATCGGACAAAAATAACTGTCATGTAGAGCAAAATATTATTCAGATAGGCTCCATATATAAATTCAATTTATAAGGCTGCTCCAATTCAAAATTGATTCTACGCAGCATACAATTACAACCTAAAAAGAAACAAAAGGAATATTACAGAAGAAGGGAAATGGATATCACGACCAAAGCAAACTCTACAAATCAAATGGGCCCACCACTGATTTCCTGTAGCTTGGAGTAAAAGCCAGGTTTTTAGAAAGTGTTTAAAAGTTTGTAGGGGGGCAGGGTGGATCCAAATCTTTCTAATTCTGGCTTATACCTATTGGGAGTCTGTAAACACATCTGTGATTTATTGCTATGAACTCCAGTGGCTTTTTCCCCTTAAGGAAGTCTGACTGGTTATCAGTGGTGGGCCCATTTGATTTGTATAGTTTGCTTTGGTTGTGATATCCATTTCCCTTCTTCTGTAATATTTCTTTTGTTTCTTTTCTAGTCTGGTGCCTTAACCACTAGACCAAAATGGCTCTCGTGACATGCGAGTGCCCTAATATGGCATAACTGTAGATTCAGATGAAGGTACCTTGAACTAAAACTCTCAACGGCATTGGAGTTTAGAAGTTAGGGACAAAATCTGTGCCAGTAGTTCCTCTATCCCTCCATGCATTTAGTCTGCATAAGACTAGAAAGCAGAAGATCATTATTCAAGTCCTGCCTTAGCCATGAAAGCCACTTGGGTGATTTTGGGCCAATCACTCACTCAGCTCAATCCACCTCACAGGGTGGTGGTTATGGGGAAAATAGGATATATTTGGCGCCTTGAATTATTTGTAAAAATAATAAAGGTGAGATACAAATTAAATAAATTAGGCATTAGATTATAGGACAGCTGTAGTTGCTGGAAAACAGCACAAATCTCTGGCTTGCCACAGCGATATCCACATGGAGAGCCTTTCATCAATGTATTTTTTCTTAGCTGCCTTGGCTGATTCAGTCCAGTGTTTCTCAACCTTGGCTGCTTGAAGATGCGTGGACTTCAGCTCCCAGAATTCCCCAGCCAACTTGTGGCCTACTCCTAGTTCTGTCGTCTGTGTGACACTTGCTGTGAGCAGTATAACGATCAATGCAATGTAGAAGTGTCAGAAGTGACCAGTGGGGCTAGAATTCATATTCAAATCCCCACCTATCTGCCAGATGAAAGATCCAGCCTTTGGGACTTGTTTTTCCCATAGGAAGTCTTGGGGTTTTCTGCCCAAAGGCTTTCAACCTTTACCAAATATGCGGAATAGGGTTCTGCTTCAGTGAGGGCATTTTTAAGTAATAGAAACCCACCACAAGTTAGGCTGAGCAAGCTACAAACTGCCTCCCATCACATGGTGAGACTAATTTCTTTAGACTCTAGAAAAGCAGGGCATTGTTCTCCTTTCAGATGGGCAGATACTAGTAGATTAGTTGCTTGGTTCCTCACTTAAATGCAGGTCCTTATCTTTCCTATCTTCCTCAATGTGTGTGAATTAAAGCATGACTTTAGGCCTTGTTAACCTGTAATCCGTAAGTGGGTAGCATACTCCCTCACTTAGCTTTTCATTTTCCTCATTGCATGAGAAGCCCTGCAAAATGTAATCTTGACTGCTTACTATGACTAAGCTTGTCAATCTTTTCTTATATAAAAGGGAGTGGGGTATTTAAACATGAGACATTGGGATAAACTCCAGCTTCCTGATCGCCACATTGAAGATGGGTCAGTCTGCTAACACACGTGAAAGTGCAACTTTACCTCCGTGGGTGTGTATTTGTGAATGGATGAGAGTGCAAGCATCCACCCCTCAGCAATCCCTGACTTGCAGTCAAGGATCAGAAGCAAATCCTGTAGTAGGCATGAGGCAAGAACAAAGAGAAACTAAAAATATAGGCTGGAATGATGGAGGCTGAGGTATGTCTGGCAGGTAACTAATTGATCTCAAGGCATTTAATAAACTGTCAGTAGTTAAAATAATTGCACACCCTTTCGAAAGTACAGCTAAGACTATGATTTGCAAAATGGCTCTGAAGATTAGCAGGAATTAAAAATCATGCATGATTCTTAATGTTGCTTCATACTCTCAAAGTCATGGGATTTTGTACATACGTCATCCTATGTTTATACAATACGCTTTATTGGGTTAGTAGGGTAGTGTTAAAAAGGAAATGTGTACTAGATTCTGCCATTCAGCTAGGTTATAGGGAAATTTTGAGAGAATTAAGGTTACACCTCCAGTCAGATCCTAACAAATGGGGGTGGGGGAAGCTGCTCTAGGAAATCTATCAGATTCCTTTAATGCCTTAGGGCCCCAGGAAGGAAGAGTGAAAGAAGAAAGGACTGTGCATTGTGTGTTGGTAAACCTGCTGGCGTGGAGAAGCTAGGTCAGGCCCCAACAAATTATTGTAAGACAGCAGTCACTTTTCAGGACTGAGAGAACACTAATGGTGTGTCCAGCTAGCGAACAAGAAGTTTGCTGAGGATTGGTTGTCTCAATTCCTGTTTGCTGGAAGTTACAAACAGAATAAATGTTTAGGAAATATAGAAGAATGCAACAGGGAAGGATAGTCATATGCTATAAGGTACAGATTAGTTTATGTCCCCCCCTCACACACACCATACATATCAAGAATACTAAAGCTATGCATTTAAACAATCAACTATAAATTGCAGTAGTTGAAAAAAGTGCCCACTTTCATCACAGTAATAATTCCTTCTGGATTGGCTTCACCTTACACCAGTGTGGTTTAAAATAGCTGCATTTCAGAGGAAATGGCAAATGAAATACGAGATCATAGCCATCTACACTAAGCTGCAATGATGAACTATACACTTGATGCCATATTGCAAACTCTGCCCTTTTCTTTTTTTCATCCCAACTTTAACTGCGAGTATGTACATCACAGGGTTTATATAACAACACATGACACACATCTCTCTTCCCTCTTGATGTCATCACCCACTGGATGCCTACGTATGAGATATTTGGATTTTTCTCATTACAAAATATTAACTTGACGCTTGGCAGGAAAATGGACAAAAGTGTGTCTGTGTGTATGTAAGTTAGTATTGTTAGAAAACCTGATTAAAAGATTACTGAAGCAATATATTGTAGTATAATAAATTGCATATGGATGCATAATCTTTCTGAATACCAAAATAGTTTTGCTGTCAACTACAACTTTCAGCATGGTTGCATTTGCTTTCATAGCATTCTCTAACTTTACGCAAACTGGAGCAAAAATTGCAAAACAATATGAAGGAATATGAAAGCCATCAGAAGTTATGGATTGCATTCAGTTCTTAAAATAATTACGACAAAACCCTTTTCTACAGTGTTCTCTCAGATAAGACCAACATATGAGAAACAAGTACACTGTAGTTGAAACAGCAAAAAATGGCTTTTTCCTCATGTGACAAGGCTGAGGCCAAGTGGAAATTTAAAGAGAAATCACACTATACCTACTGTATTTGCATGTGTTCCCAAGTGACACGATCTGAAGCACTTGATAACCTAAGTTTATCCCATGAAGGATTCCAAATAGTGCCACCCAGTTTAATTTTGATTAAAATTAAAGAAGAAAATATTTAAATTAATGACTGGACAGTAATAATATATGCATTCGTATTTAATTTGTTTACATAGAAATAAAATATATCTGGTTCCACCTGCTGTATTTTGCAAATTCTCCTAAATGGCCTTCAAGTCAAGGGCTGCTCTTGGCCAAGTAAACAGCATGCAACCCATGGCATATCATTGCTACTGTAAGGTAATTTCTGAAGCTGTTAGAAAAAAAATCTTTCTGGATCACAATATAGTAACAGGATTTTTTTTACTCTGAGTTATTTCTGGTTCTTCAAGTACCCAAATACTTAAAAGTTACTACTGTAATAACATTTACTTGGACATCCATTTAAGGGTAAACAATGTAAGTTGTCCTAATGGCCTATCTGATATCCAGAGTGGAGGTGTTTGTGGGTTTTTATGAGAATTACTCTTTCAGCAATATTTTTCACAAACATGTCTATATTCACGGACTGATTCATGGGCTTTCAGAATGCTGAAAACTTTGGTAGCTCTTGAAAGCAAATAACTTTGTATTAGTGTAGCTATTTTAGAATGAAATCTTTTATGTCTCCTTTGAAAAAGATTAGTAAGTGGTCCTAAACTCTTCCCCAAGTAACTTTAATTAAAGAATGGGCTTATTCTTAGCCACTGTCCTTTACGATGCATGTAACCTGCTCCAATATACCACCACAGAGGTATCCTATTAGGGCCACCTCTCTTAAGGGATAATCCACTGGATTTATCCAAGCTTGGGCAAGTAAGCTGAGACCAAAGCTAAACTTCAGTGGAAATTCCCATTTTCTCTCTGGACTAACAGGTTGCAAGGCAAGAACTAGCTATCATTACAGGATCTTAAAAGGGAACTTGGAAATCAAGCTAAGAGCAGTATCAAGTTAGGTCAGAAGCCATAGATCAGGGGTGTCAAACTCAATTTCATTGAGGGCCGCATCAGCATTGCGGTTGCCCTCAGGGGGCCGGTTGGGTGTGGCCAGAGTGGGTGTGGCCTACTGGGTGGGCGTGGCCAGCTCTACATCGTTCATGTCAAGGGTGCCTGTGGGGGCCTGGGCAGGAGTGGGACAGATCTGAGGGTCTCTGGCAGAAGGGGGTGGGACCGGGGCAAGTGCCAAGGCATGGTCCACTGGAGGAGCCTCACTGTTCCTCTCAGGCCATGCAGGGGGAGGGTTTATGGAGCTAAAACTGAATGCGTTTCAGCATAGATGGCCACCACACAATTGTATATTGGCTCCCAGCTGGCCTGGGCCAGGGCCAAGGCAGAGGGGGCCATTCCCTCACTGTTTCCAGGATGGCTTCGTGGGCCACATGAAACCACTTCGTGGGCTGCATCCAGCCCCCGGGCCTTGTGCTTGACATGTCTGCCATAGATTACCTACCTCTATGCTAGTAGTAGAAACATTGTCTTTTCACTGTTCAAAATTAACACGAAACATGAATGTGCTGCTTTCATTTTTGGCATCATTTGACTTGCTTATTTGCAGTCTTCCAACAAAGGCATAGTTGCAGATTCATTAAACTATGAACACAAGAATCTAAATCTAATGGTCTAATGTCCTGTTAATTATGCCTTTCCTCTTGAGTTTTACTGTCCTTTTACACTTATCCTGTCTGAGTCCAATGCCAGCTTCACCCAAACTTTTATTTTTTTTATTTAGAGTTCGCACATACTGTGCCTTGTGTTTTAGTTATAATATTCCAGAACACTACTTTTATAAAAGGTTTATTTGCCAATTTTAAAACCATACATAAAGTTTAAAACAGGCAGGTTGTATCTTTAGAGATGTCTCCAATGCAGCATTGTAAGGCCAGTACATCTGGCTCAGTCTTTGAAGTCTTTTCAACACAGCGTGAAAAATTTAATTGCATCCTTTTATTTCCATTACAGGACATTTCCCTGAGAAAGTAACTTTTTCTTAAGTAAAATTTGTCATTAATTTTAAAACAGGCCTTGTGGTGTCAACAGCTGTGTTCTGGAAGCAGAGGTTTCTTTGGCCCAGGGGGGGTGGGAGGGGAAGGACAGTTTGAAGATCCAGGAGGGCTTTCCAAGGCCTCATGCCACACCGTTGATAGCCTCTTTAAGCAACATTGCTTCCTCCACCTCACCTTGCTGTGTTGTCCGCTTAATATTTTCCATATGGGATTGGCCACTTTTCCACAAAATAGACCTTTCTTGTTTGGTTTTAAAAAGTAGACCGTGACCTGAAAAAGAAAAAAAACACACACACATCCTGGATGGCTAGCATTTGAAGAATAAGAAATGGAAAACATTACAAAAATCAATTGCTTTGTGGTTTTCTTTTCATCTGATGTATGTGATTTAGGAGCTAAATTGTATTATTATTGTTGCTGTTATTATTATTCCATTCAGAAGCTTGCTGTATTGAGCAGAAAATTAAAATGATCCCAAATAAAAATGGCTCATTGTGATCAAATGGTTAAAATGGGATAGGCATGAATTTTAAAAAGCCACTATGCAGGTGATTATTTAAAGGGAAAATAAAAAACCCAGTAATTTTATATCTTTATGACAGACAGGATTCCCTATAAAAGTTACAGAAACGTTTATTCATGACCACTTGCTGATCTGATTCTGCGAGTTATTTTTGTGTGACTTGATTAAAGAAAGGGGCTTTTGTATTAAAAGTACTGTGGCTTTCAAAATTCATACAATTAACATTTTAAAAAAAATCCTTACAATTTAGCTCCTAAATTACATACATCAGATGAAAACAAAACCACAAAGCAGTTGATTTTTATAAAAGATTATAATTAGTATTTCAAAAGAGAGAATTATTTTGAAAATAAATTTTAGGTATCAGGTCAAAGCTTAATCAACTGTATGGTTAATATATTCTAGGGCTATTTGGGGAATAAAGGCTATCACTGTCATGCTATAATTTGAATGCGGTCTTTTTTTTTTGGTAAAGAAAATCTGCTTTGATTTTATTAAATCGCAAGCATGTTATTTCCAGGAAATATTTCCGATTTGGGCTTTGGGGTAAACAGTATTTGAAATGTAAACTATATGTTTATAAGCATAAAATCATGCAACAGACTTTAAAATTCCTTCCTGTAGAAGCACTTTTGTTATTTTAAAAAAAAGTTTGGGTTACACGGGCACTCACCAGGACAGTCTGCTGTCTCTCTGAAAGCTCTTTTCTTACAGCAGCCTCGACACAGATTAAATACACACTTGTTACCCTAGGAATAGATGCAAATTAGTTCAATTTTCATATGATAATATCACATTGCCAGTATGTGGGGGTAGTTAAAGTTGTATGTAGTCCCAACTAAAGTATGAAACAAATCTAAAAACTAAGATTTTTTTTTTCTTAATAGACTGCCAATTCACAAGAAAAAGATAATTCACCCTCCCATTTAATAGGATTTACTGTTAATCCAGGAAAAAAGGGCAAGACTTAAAAGAGGGATATCCATCTGTTTTAAGCCTCCCAGGCTTTGTGAAACCTTTTAAAATGTGTCTGTGTCACGTAGATTTATTTGAAGAATTAGAACGGTGCCAAAGTGGACACATCAATTTTAGAAGAATCTAAGTGAGCCTTATGCACCATGGCAAATCACATCACATCACTATCAATAAAATATTGACTCTGGCCAACACTTCCTACCCATCTAGGTATTTGGACAAAATAGCCTTCTACTCCCAAGCTGTACAGGTGTAGATTAAAGATTATAATATTAACTCTATGGTGCAAACAGATTACCACACCTACATTGGGAGAAACACCCTACTGAAAAATAACTTTAATACATGAATCTGCTTTCCTCCCCTTTTTTCTCCAACAATATCAAGAAATGCTATAGGTTATGGATTATCCAGATGATCTCAAGCTTCCCCAAGGTGAAAGTAGGTAATGTTCCACAAGAGTTACTGATATGTTTATATTTCAGAAGACGGGATCTGGTGCAAGTAAAGTCTATTAAACTCTCTGACCAATAAAATATATACACACAAGCCAAAAGTACAACAAACTCAAACAGTTAGTCCATTATGATCCCACCACAGGCAGTAATAAATACCATATTTTTTCCTGAACAGATGTTGATGTCACTGTATTATTTGTCTATAATCTGTCTTTGGGAAAAGAGCAAGATCCACAATCACAGCAGATGGTTTGAGTCAACCACCTTATGGATATAAATCTATTCCTTCTATACAGAAATTTTTCAAGAATCCATCATAGGTTTGGATAGTATTATGCTTCTGTTTACAAGTAGTCCTTGCTTAGCAACCATAACTGGGACCAGCAACTCCATCACTCAGTGCCATAGTTACTAAGCAAAAATCATGTGACCATGACAGGCTTATGACCTTACTATCCCTTTGGTTGTTAAAGCAAACCACCACAGTTGTTAAGTGAAACATCACGTAACTGTGACGTATTTTATTTCTGCCTTCTGTATTAACTCTGCTTGTTGCAAGCAAGTTGTGAAGCACAGAGATGGTGATCGTATGATTGTAGGACATTGCAGCGGTTGTAAATGCGAAGACTGGTCGCAAAAGCAATTTTTTTACACTGTTGTAACTTCAACGATTATTAAATGAGGCAATTCGTAAGCGAGGACTGGTTGTACTGTTCTTTGATAATGAAGGTATTTAAAACTAAGAGTAGTGGTATAAGGCAGGGCTTTTCACCCATTGTACCATTTTAGGATATGGCAACATCCGAGTACCACCAGTCGCCTAGCAAGGTGTCAAAAACTTGATGACCCCCCCCCAAAAAGGAAAAAAGTGATAAAGTACAGGTAGTCCTTGACTTACAACAGTTCGCTTAGTGACTGTTCGAAGTTACAATGGCACTGAAAAAAGTGCCCCCCAAGCCACAACTGAGCAAGACAGCGCCCGGTGGCGCTCTTCCTCCTGTCCGAGGTTTCCATTGTTGTGAGCATTTCTGTTGAGGATTGGCAGCAGGGGTGGGGTGGGGGGTGTTTGGTTTTTATTCCCCCTGTCTGCTGGGTGGTTGCAGCAGGTTTTGGTCACTTCACATGACCCTGGGACACTGTGACCGTCATAAATATGAATCAGTTGCCAAGCATCTGAATGTAAATCACAAGACCCTGGAGATGCTGCAACATTCCAGCTGATCAACGCTTATTCTGCGCTCAGCAGAAGCGTCAGGATCAGTGCTGCTTTCCAGCTGATTGGTGCTTCTTCAGGGCTCAGCAGAAGCACCAGGATCAGCGCCGAGCTCCAGCTGGAGCCTGGCGCTGATCCTGGCGCTTCCACTGAGCCCTGACAGCCCCAAAGAAGCGCCAATCAGCTAGAAAGCGGCACTGATCCTGGCGCTTCCACTGAGCCCTGACAGCCCTAGCCATCTCTCGCTCAGGCTTGTGCGGTGCTACCACCGGTTCAGCTCATTCCCCTCCCCCGCTACTTTTCTAGGATGGTCGCGTATGACCTGCCAGGTGCCAATATACCACAGGTGGTACCCGTACCACTGGTTGAAAAGCCCTGGTATAAGGTGCTGCCTGTAGATGGCAGTAGATTTCCAGATCTGCTTGTTCAAATTTCATAGACCTAAACTGATTTTGCCAAGGAGGGTCAGACTCAGTTCATATTTGCATGGGAATCTTCTAGAAAATAACAGACTGTAGGTTAGACTGGGATATGCTATATGGCTTCTATGAAAACTGGATGGCTGTGTTCATGAAACCAGCAGGAGTCAAATCTGACTTGGAGACAGTGCCTTTTTGGCCTACCTTTCTAAGCAAGCATCTTAAAAGCCTGTAATAAAGGCATATGATAATTAATTTATTGTTAACGTAGTGCTTATGACTTTATTTTAAGGACTAGAGCACAAGTGTCAAACTCGCCGCATCAAGTGACTTATCATGACTTTTTTTGCACTGCCAGAGCTGGGATGGGTGCAGCCTCCATTACGATGCAACTGGCCCATGGGCCGGCAGTTTGACACCCCTGGACTAGAGCATAAAATAGTTTAAATCATTTAGTTTTTTAGGATTTGCTCCGAACTGCAATTTTACTGGGAGGAATATTATTGAAACTATGTTGCAGCAAATCCCTTGGCTCAATGCACAGATTTTTTAAGCATTTATCATTTCACTCAAGGTTTTAACGATTAGCGCATTAATGAAAACTTTTAAGATTCACCTTTGGATTTCCACACTGATCACACTTTGCATATTTAGCTAAAACAAGAAAAAATGAATTAGTTTTCAGGTTATTTCAAACATTTACCCTAGAAACTGACATACAATTTCTATCTCTTGAATTTAAAAACAGTTCTGAAAAAAATAGTTTCAAAAGAGATTTTTGAAGTACCCTAATTTAAATAAAAAGCTAGGAAGAGATGCTGGCCATGAAGAAAAAATACAATATCTGTTGAAGGCAGCACCTTTATAAGGCTAACAGGGTTACAAAAGAGCGGGATAGTATTTCTGCTTGCAACTCTTTTGCAACATTCAGTTGGCCTAATTAAGTTGTTGCCTCAAATAGCTTTTGAAATTAAATGTTCCACTCTTAGCTAAAAGACCTAACAGATTTATTGTAGAGAGAGAAAAAATAGAGAACAAGACAACTAGGGATTGCATTTGTCAGCTAAAGCTGTTGTTATAAAGAGACGAAAAGGTTATATCATGGCAACTGGACCAAAGTTTATTAAAACTAAGATATTTCCTTGCTCATCCAACTAACGTCTTCAGTCAAACTAAAAATTTGGGTAGGAGTGAGTCAGAGTGTCACTGGAAAGAATCAACTCTTGCCATAACACACTGCAGGTGTTTTGGTCTGGATGATTGAACCTTCATTTACATGTTATAAAGCAGTGATGGCGAACCTTTTAGAGACCAAGTGCCCAAACTGCAACCCAAACCCACTTTTTTTTTTTTTTTGCGAAGTGCCAGGGCCGCATCAGCATTGTGATGCTCTCAGGGGGAGCGGGGGGGGGCGTGACCCACTGGGTGGGCATAGCTGCAGTGGCACGGCAGACTGGGTAAGCGTAGCCGGGGTGGGTGGGCCGGAACCAGGGTGACGGGGACCAGCCCCCCTGCCATCTCCAGGGCATCCCCAGGGGGCCAACACCGCTTGCTCGCTCACTTCCTGCCCCGTCACTTCCAAACGCCACATGCTTGCTACTCTGGCGAACTATGCTGGGGCGACGGAGTGCGTGCCCACAGAGAGGTCTCTGAGTGCCGTCTCTGGCACACGTGCCATAGGTTCACCACCACTGTTATAAAGAGACTTTGAACAACAATTAAAAACATTCCACAGTCAACAGAGGCTCCACTCCTGGAAAATGCTCGGTGCTTTTGTTCTGTCCCAAAACTTCAAGAATCTCAAAATTTGTGATGCAATTACTCCCCTAGCATGATAGAATGTGTTTTTATTTAACTATTAAAAAACAGATAAGCATAAAAAAAGAAAAAAATATCAGTAAGTGGACAGAGAAATTGTAAAAGTTGTATAATTGGTGCTCAGTATATTATTGATAAAGGGTTAACATAAAAAGCAGAATGCACTGAATTATTTTAAACAAAAAGCAACATTAAAGATCTTTTTATATCTCTGAGTTAAAAGTGATATTGCAGCTATTTTATTACTTAAAGATAAATCATCCAATAGAAAAAAGAGGAAAAAATAAAATTTATTGATAGATTAACCTATTGATATCAATGTTAAAGTTTCCAACTTCCCTTTTGTTACTCTGATATGTAATATTTATAAAGATTTAAATTGTTTACATATTACTAATTTCAGATCTTTTAATTCTTTTTCCTCTTAAAAACATACTCTAAATGTTTAAATTTGCCACGCTGTATAATTATATATTGAAGTTGTTCTTGCTTGAATTTAGTCAAACTTGTATTGTGAATATATGCTTTTAATTCTCCCACTGTTGCATATTCTCCAGATTTAAATTCCCAATCTGACATCATTGGAAATATCTCTTTTCCAAAGTTGCACTAAATTTATCCTTGGAATGATCAACATGGATCTTAGTAAATTGTGGTATTTTTGTTGTTAGGTCCTGGAATTATGCTTAATTTAAAAAACAATGGTCTCAATTCAAAATTTGATTTCCAAAATTTTCTAAATACTGGTAGAATTGTCTACTGGTAGTCTTATTTGTCCATCTATTCCAGGCATGTCAAACTCGCGATGTATCAGAGCTTTTTCTCCATTGCCGGCAATGGGGTGGGCGCGGTTTTGGGATGACGTGTCTGGCCCGCGGGCCGGCAGTTTGACACCTCTGATCTATTCAAAGGAATTGAGTAGCATTGAAAAAATGGATTTATGGCCCATGCCTGCAGTTGTTACAGTATTGCTTGCAGTCACATGATCAAAATTTGGATGCTTGGCAGCATGCCCACACTTATGACCACAGGGACACCGCAATTGCAATTCCTCCCCATCTCTCCCTCCTTTTTGCTACCTTGCTTCCCAGGGGTTGTGAGAATGGGTGCGCTATTTAAAGAATGGCAGACTAACCCATTCCCATGAGACCAGGGTAAGATGAAAAGGTTTCTGGAAGTTTTTAAGAAGAGACTGGACAGCCATTTGTCTGAAATGGTGTAGGGTTCCTGCCTGAGCAGGGGGTTGGACTCGATGACCTCCAAGGTCCCTTCCAACTTTATTATTATTATTATTATTATTATTATTATTATTATTATTATTATTATTATTATTATTATTATTATTATTATTATTATGTGATCTCTGAAGCACTATGAGAACTGGGCTCCTACCATTCTCCAAATAGGAGGGTATTCTCTTTCTTTAAAACACTGTTTTGCTCTTAAAATGCAGCAAATACAAAACTCCAGCTTTTTGCCCTCTCTCCCAGCACAGCATTAGCATCCTACTCCTTTATCTTCCCACCTGGTGCTAAGAAATCCCTGTCCCTCCCTCTACTCTTGCCATGCACTTAAATACAAAGGGACTATTTGTTTAATTGCACAGTCCCCACATTTTCCAAATGTTTATTTAGTGACCCATAGTTGCAGAAATTTTGAGAGACGCTGTTCCCTATGCTTGAAAAGAGATATTTTAAAAACCTAAATGTCTGATGCTCCTATTTTTAGTACAATTATACCCACTGACTATATTATACACAGCTTTATAACTTACGTTTTAATGATGGATCAAAGCTTTTGTTGGGATTCCTTAACTTCTTCTTTTGTTTGTTTTTTGAGAGAGAATCCGAGTTTCCATCTTCTTCATCCTCCAGAGCTCGTTTTCCCCGAGTACCTCCTTCTATGCTAGATGGGACATTTTTGTTGCACGTTTCCTTAGGCCTGTAAAGATTGAATATGAAAACATCTAAAATGCAAGGCAACAATTACTTTCTTTGCTAATACCACCATTTTAGGAGCCTACAGAAGTCCCTAAAAATAACAAAGCTGAGACACCCCATGTTCTCCTGCCATCTTTGTTCCATTGTAGAAAAGACAGTATCAGAGGTCATGTGAGAGACTGGGTGAACACTGAGGAATATCAGTTGTAAATGGTTATATAAACAGAGCTTAAAGAGGAAAAAATAGTCTCCAGCCCCACTTTTTCCTTCGAAAACTTTTTAAGATTTAAAAAAAAAATCTTCTTCAACATCAGCTCCTTCAGAAAAAAAACCTTGTTGCTATATGCAAGGATGTAGATTTATATATCTGTTGTATATAGCATATTTAAATGTGTGTTATGTATGTGTACAATTTGAGAGCAAGCAACAAAATTTCATTTTTAATGTGTACCAGTTACCCACAGTAAAAAATGACAATATTATCTATCTATCTATCTATCTATCTATCTATCTATCTATCTATCTATCTATCTATCTATCTATCTATCTATCTATCTATCTATCTATCTATCTATCTATCTATCTATCTCAATATGCTCCTCTTTACTGCTCTAGTTAACAAAGTTAAATTGAGGACATTCATTTATGTTATTTCCAAGTAGCTAGGCCCCATAAAGCAATTCCAAAATTCCACTAAGTGTGAATATAAATATCCTTCTCTTTTGCATTAGAATGGGACAAGCCTACAAAAAAATGCTCAGACCTGAAGGACTAACATGCATGCATACCTTAATAACACAAGGATGGGTATTCAGAGGAAAAAATATCACCTGTTGCAATTATCATTACAGCTCGTTACATGGCAAAGAGGAAGAAACTCACGAGTGCCATGGACAAGCTTCTTAAGCTATCATTCCAGCACTACATTCCTTCACCTTCAATTATATATTGCACAAATTTAATCTGACAAATTAACAATGCAATATAAGCACTCACCCTGGTCTTAGGTACGGCTGACAAATCCAGTGGAAGAAAGGTAATCCTCCCTTTGGCTTCTCTTCTTCCTTCAAATGTGCTATTTCTTTCTGCACATAGAGCAGAACAAATGACAAATTCAATTGTTATAAGGAAGAGCCACCTTATACTGATAGAGCAAAAATGAAAATAAAAACAATGCATAAAACCCATACGTAAGAATGTATTAAGCCATTCTGTGAAACTAGAAAATGGAGTATGAAAATAGTATAGCTGTGCATTGCTTTGGATCTGATTCCAACAATGTGAGTTTGTGTGCAACTCTTTAAAGTAATGTATGTCCCCAGGATTGTGTTTCCTTTGGAGGATGAAGAAACTTCAAATGCCTTAAAGAAAAGTTAACACCAAGTGGGCATAGTCATTTAGATCAAGCATTTTTCATCTTCTTGGATCCAGGGCCAATAGAGATTTTTGAAAAATAGTAGCATGCTGGAATAGCGGCCCTCATCACAGAAGACAAGCCAGCCATTTAGCAGTTGTCCCCACCACTCAAGCTCTCCCAGCCTCTTTTTCCTACTCATCATTGACCCTACTCACAAGTCCCGTTACTCTAAGAATCAGCTCTCAGCTCTTATTCTTTCTTATACACCAGTGGTGGCGAACCTATGGCATGGGTGCCAGAGGCGGCACTTAGAGCCCTCTCTGTGGGCACGCGCACCGTCGCCCCAGTCCTAGGCCTTCAGCTGGGTTTTATAAAACCTTTTCGCTTTAGCCCTCCGCCGCCATGTGCAAAAAAAAAAGGTTCAATCAATCAGTCAATTTCAACTTCTCATGGAAAAAAAAACATCTTGCAAAGTTGGAATTGAGTGATTGAACTTTTTAGTCCCACCCAGACTGCCGTTACCACCGCAGCTACGCCCACCCAATGGGCCACACCCACTCAATGGGCCACGCCCACTCAATGGGCCACGCCCACTCAATGGGCCACGCCCACCCGGCACTCGACAATGCATAAGTGGGTTTTGGGTTGCAGTTTGGGCACTCGGTCTCTAAAAGGTTCGCTATTACTGTTATACACCTTTACCCCTATTCACACAATCACACCAAATCTATTTCAACTCCCGCTATTACCCTACCTTCCCCCTACTTCCTGCATGCCCCTCAGCCCAATCAATAGCAGTGGCAAAGCCCTCTTTCCTTTTTTGCCTCCCTTTTATGTTTTTAGTAAGTCTCCAAGCAGACAACCAGTATAACTCACCTACTTGCCGCCTCTATTTTTTTTTTTTTTTTAAGAAAGCCAATGGGCCCAGCTGGAGCCCAGGAGAAGTAGGACGAAGTAAAGAAAGTAACTGGTTAAAATCTGCTGCAATTATTACACACTCTCATTAATAAGAATTTGTTAAGAGACACCAACTTATCTTGTTTGACAAATGAGAGGTCCTACAGTACCAAATTTTTCCCCATGAAAGTTCAGGGCTACTGCACAAATACACAAAGCGTCAGCTGATACCTGGCAATGCAACTTCAGCTCCCTGTTGACAGCCACTAATCCTTCCAGTGTCTTCACTTTTGCTAATTCATCACGTAGCTGCTGGTGAACCTGCAGCCTGAGGGAAACCAACACAAGTGATGAAAAAGAGATTTCAGTCCAATCTTAGCAGATGAGATGCACAGCTTCAGCTCTTCACTGCCATGAGATCCCCCTCCTTACACCAACGGTGGTGGAAATCCACTGTGAGATAACACACGAAATACTACGAACAGCAGAATCACTCACGTGTGATGCCAAAGCTTGAAGAGATGAGCTCTGACATAGGACAATGGGCAAGGATATTGCTGTACTATTTCTAGGTATTCCTCAGCCATCTCCCAGACGACCGGATTTCTTCCTTCGAATAAAGCGGGATTATGAAGATTGCCCTCTAAAAGAAGAAAATCCAAAAAAAAAAAAAAAGTAAGGAGTTTGGCCTTAATTGATAGGGCATGAAGGATTCCCAGTGGGAATTAGCTGGTGCTGCTGGGAGTTAGAGCAAGTTAAGAACTTCCTTCTCCTGCTTCCAAGCTTCTCCAAATATCCCATATTCTCAGTGCCTCTGAAATCACACTTTGGAAACCTGAGTTTGTGAATAAATACAGGTAGTCCTCACTTACTGTTCATTCGGCTACTGCTCAAAGTTACGACAGCACCGAAAAAGGAAAATTACAACTGGTCCTTGAATTTGTAGCTGGTTGCAGCATCCTCATGGTCGTGTGATCCTGATTTGGGAACTTGACAACTAGCAAGCAGTTATGACGGTTGAAGCATCCCCCGATCGTGTGATTGCCAATTATGAACTCCACAACCAGCTTCCAACTAGCAAAGTCAATGGGAAAGCCAGCAGGAAGTATTTAAGTTGCAACATGGTCACGTCACGTTTAATAGCCACGCGCGATTCACTTTGCAACTGCAGCTGATGTGGTAAGTTGGGCACCGTCATGTAATGTTTCACTTTAAAACTGTTGTTGCTTAGTGATGAATTGCCGGTTCCAATTGCGATTGGAGAATACTACCTGTACGTCACTCCGTTATTCATATTTCTCAGCATGAAATTGAAATCTATTTCTTGCTATTTCGGAATAGAAATTACTTTATTATTTTACTTCCTCTGTGAAATTAGTGAAGCCTTATTTCTCTTACGTTCCCATGCAACTTCATTGTTAACATAGTTAGCTAACTAGCCTCAATTCCTAAACCACCCTGATTTTTCAAAATTAAGATTTCAACCGCTTTCATTGTTATTACAGGTAGTCCTCAACTTACGACCACAATTGAGCCTCAAAATTTATGTTGTTAAAGCGAAACATTTGTTAAGTGAATTGGCCCCATTTTACAACTTTTCTTGCCACAGTTGTTAAGTGAATCACTGCAGTTCTTAAGTTATAATATTATAGTTATATTATAGTTAAATTATAATATACATATACTGTAATATTCTGACTTCCCCAAAGGCTTTGCTTGTCAGAAGGGTGCAAAAAGTGATCATATGACCTTGGGATACTGCAACTATCACAAATATGAACCAGTTGATCACATGACTGTGGGGATGCTGCAATGGTTGTAAGCGTGAAAAATGGTCATAAGTCACTTTTTTCAGCGCTGTTGTAACTTCGAACAGTCACTAAATGAACTGTTGTAAGTCGAGGACTACCTGTAAAAGAAGAGGGGTGTACAAAATGTTTCATATTAAAATGCTTTCAAGCACGAGGTTGTGCAAAATGGGCGGTTTCACACATTGTGGAAGCTTTTCAAATTCAAAATACTTATTAGCCGCCCAGATTCTCAAGATGGGGGGCATATAAATTTCATAAATAAATTCAATACATAAATTTCAATACCTCTTGACTGCTTGAAAGCAGGATGGTTTGCCAAATTTTGTGATCAAACTATTTTGAGAGGAACCATTTTCACACTCCTGGATAATCACCAGTGTTTAGGAAAAGCAGTTTTTTTTCCAGAATCCAGATGCAAACTAAGAGGTGGTTAATATGTATCTTTTGTTTCTCCATCTAAAACAATAGATTTTATACGCAAACTCAAATTTTTATTTAAATAAACTATTCAGTAAGCATTTAGAATAGCCAGACATTCCAATCTTGTATGGCAGATGTCTCCAAGCTATGTTTCGTGAAACCCAGAGCTCCCCAAGAACTTGATATGGTCCCTTGAAAGACTAAAGGGTTGAGGGGGGAAAAAGGACCACTTGAACCCAGGCAATTTTCTATCACCAGCGCTTTATCTCCAGATCACGGGGTCCAGAAGTTTTTTTTTTAACTAACAGGTTCCTTGGCCTAAAAACCTCAAAAGCCCCCGTTATACAGCATTAATGGCCTCCTCTGCTTTTTAAACTAAAGCACTATGCATTCCAAAGGATGTATCTGTTAAACCTTCACACCATGAATGACACCCATGTCTCCCTCAGAGTCATCTTATCAGTAGAAAAGCATTTTTTTTCCTATTGGGGTCCTCTATTAACATGCATTCTTTGATCAAGATTCCATGTAACACCTATGCCCCCTTGGAGCTCTTGTTCCTGGCTCATCTGGATGCAGGAGACCAATGTCTCCATATAACCCTGCTAGCGTTGGAAATTAATCATTTTGAATCTACTTCAGTTGTCGGTGTCTATTGCATGAGGTATCCACTACACAGTAACTATCCTATCTTTTTAAATGGTCGGTCTTAATGTTTGGATGTGTCACCCAGTCTGTAGGGTAGATTGGAAGTAAACAGAAACAACAACTAGAAAGAGCAGTGATAAACCCACTTCAATATTATTGCAAGAATATTGCATCACTGTGTCCCCAAAGTCACCGGGAGTCTGGGCAGAGGATTATATTTATCATATTCGGCACCACTGATCTCTGCTCAGAAAATTTAAATCACTGCTCTAAAGTGATTTAAATGAAAGCAACAGAAACAGCAGATGACCATGCTATGAACAAGAGTATCATTGTGGTATCATTTAACTTCAATGGAGACATTGAACAGTTTCTTTTTCTTTCCTACCTGCGCTCATAATACCCTGAACGCCTGTCTTCTGAATACACCGTTCCACATCTTTGAGGTATTGAATGTTTCCATTTGCAAAAACGGGGATGTTTATAGCCTTTCTATGACAGCAAATGGAAAAGGAAAGATAATGCATCAATAATAGAAATTAAAAACTTCTAAGAGCAGCAAACTCTTACACTCGCCAGACAATGTTTTCTCTAAATTGATGGCATTCGGTGCCTAGAAAAAAATCCCTCCTGACTAACACTGAACTGAGGACCAAAAGCAGGGACCTGGTCTCTCCCTTCCAAGATACAATATTCCTTCCAAGATACAATATTCCAATCCTACTGATAATTCCGTGTGCCCAGAGAACTAAAGGCCAGAACCCTCTGGCTTTTCCCACTGGTCAAGATGTCATCGTTCAGGAACAGTCAGAAAAGGGCAACAGGAAAGGAAAATCGACCCAGCACAAATGGCTTACATGCCAGAACGTAGCTCCCAATTTCATTTCATTCTGGCTGTGAGAAACTAACCTCCTGCCTTTCTTAGCCCCTCTATTCCTCTTCTCTAATGAGTCTTGCCTGCTGCAGAAAGTAAACTTAAAGGCAGAGTCCATTTCTTTGCTTTAATTCATGTGGGCCCATTTGGGAGGCATTAATTATCTAAAAGATGAGATACAAATACAATACAGTCAGTGAATCAATCTACCCGTGTTTTCCCCAAAACAAGACCCCGTCTTATATATTTTTTTGCTTTCGAAAGAGGCACCAAGTCTTATTTTCAGGGGATGTCTTGCCTGCTTACCTTAGGACCGCCACAGCCGGGCCTCCCACCCCCCAACACCTGTCGCGCTGCTGCCTGAGTTTGCGGCTGCATACCAGATGCCATCGCTCGCGTTGCACCATGGCGTGTTGTGCCGTGGCGTGGAGTGGCAGCACCGGCGCAATGCACCACGCAGCTTCCTGCCGCGATTGGCGCAATGAGCCATGCGGTCTTCTGCTGTGATCGGCGTGATGAGCCACGTGGCCTCCTGCCATGAGGAGCAGCACCGGCACAATGCGCCACATGGCGTGCGGCCGCAAGCAGCCACAAAACAAACCAAGCTCCACCCCCTGCCCTAGCTTGATTTTTACACATGCGCCTCGCTCCCAAATTAGGGCTTATTTTGGGGTAGGGCTTATATTAGGCCACTGGTGGCGAACCTATGGCACGCGTGCCAGAGGCGGCACTCAGAGCTCTCTCTGTGGGCACACATGCTGTTGCTCCAGCAGAGTTTGCCGGAGTAGCGAGCACGTGGCGTTTGGAAATGACAGGGCAGGATGTGAGCAAGCAAGCGGCGTTGGCCCGCCGGGATGCCACGCTCACCCAGTCTGCTGTGACCACTGCAGCCACACCCACCCAGTGGGCCACCCCCCGACCCCCCGAGGGCACCTTGGCACTTTGCGATAAATAACTGGGTTTTGGGTTGCAGTTTGGGCACTCGGTCTCTAAAAGGTTCACCATCACTGTATTAGGCGCACACATAAAAATCAAGTAGGGTTTATTTTCAGGATAGGGCTTATTTTCGGGGAAACAGGTATATGCATTCAGTAGTATAGGATTCCTTCCCCAAGTTAGCTATGGGTATTTACCTCACAGCCTGTATGTGCTCCCAGGAAGCCACACCAACAAGAGGTCCCTTCTGTTCTTTAGTGCGGCCATGGACAGTTAGAAGCTGCAACAAATTGTATGTGATTGAGACAATCTTAGAAAATATTTCATTTGTGTCAAGTTAACGCTGCTAACATCGGATGTTTTGCTTTGACAACAGTTGGAGATGCAACCATTTTCTTATGTTTTACTTTTAGAGTTAGATGATGCTGGGGGGAGAAATGTGCATGAGAGTTTAGCTAGACATAACAATACTGGACCTAATGTGTGAACCAAGGTTATTGAAATAAGAGATGGTAAGAATTGGTGGGTTGGAGAACTGGAGGGAAAGCCTGCATTTCAAACTAACTGGAGAATGTGATTTATGACTGTTAATTGGAAGAGGGAATTGTGCTTTGTTACTGTGTGCTCAGGGGAAGGAAATTTAATTTTTGGCTTCGACTGTGTTAGTGCCGATGCTATGCTTCTCAAATAAAGATTGTTTAAGGTAAACAATGCCTCGAAGTTCTTTGAAGAGTTTCATCTGTTGGAACCATGACAATTTGTCTCTAATGCCAGCCGGTGTTTTTTTTACAAATAGTTAGGAATTCTAAATTCCATATCTATTTTTTCCCGATAACATTATAGGTGGTCTCAATTTACGACCATAATTGTCCCTGACATTTCTGTTGCTACACAAGGCAGTTGTTCAGTGACTTTTGCCCCATTTTCTGACCTTTTTGCACAGTTAAGCGAATCACTGCAGTTGTTAAGTGAATCTGGCAAAAAAAACCCATTGACTTTGCTTGTTGGAAGCCAGTTGGGAAGGTCACAAATGGTGATCACATGATCTTGGGACACTGCGACTGTCATAAAAATGAGTCAGTTGTCAAGCATCTGAATTTTGATCACATGACCATGGGGATGCTACAGCGGTCATTAGTGTGAAAAAGGGTCACATATCACTTTTTTTCAGTGCTATTGTAACTTCGAACGGTTGCTAAGCAAATGGTTGTATACTGTATGGTTGTATGTACAGGTAGTCCTTACTTAACAATCACAAATGGGACTGGCAATTCCATAATTAAGCAACGTGATAGTTAAGTAACACATCATATGATCATAATGGACTTATGACCTCACTTCCACTGTGGTCATTAAACAGATCACCTACGTGTCATCAAACAAGATGTCATGTGACTGCAAACTCCAATTTCACTGCCAGCTTCTCCAACGATTGAAGTGCACAAATGGCAATCCTGTGAGCATGGGATGCTGTAATAGTTGTAAAATGCCTACCAGTCGCAAAATGCTTGAAACTCTATCATCTGACCCTGAAATGGTCAGAAGTATAAGGAACGGTCATAAAGCTACTTTTTCAGTTCCATCATAACTTTGAATGGTGGCTAAACAAGACAGCTGTTAAGCAAGGACTATCTGTTTTTCCTCAAATACTAAATAAGCTTCTTGGAACATACCTGCCTATTTTATCTAAGGTTAATAGTTTGATACTGACATCAAATCATATTAAACATCTTGACTTGTGTGCTATTATATTGCATATACCGCCTAGTTGGTGGGATGAGAGCAACAGTATGTTGACCGTATTAGAGATCCTGAGCTAAAAGTGAACTTTAATTGCATTTGTCATATATGCCAAAACTGATCAGTAATAATCTTACTATTAACTATGCAGAATGCTGCATATGGCATGAGTATGACTAAGGCCTGTAACATCCCACCTAAATGACTGTGGGCGGTTTGCAAGCCTAGAGCCTTTACAATGCCATGTATAGCATTACAATTTAATTCTATATTGTTGGCTGTGAACCCAAATAATTGTTATGTTAGCAGTAAATATTAACTAATTTTATAAAGAAGAATAACAGACCAAGATAGTTGCATTTAACCAACAGACTGAACAACTGCAAGTAATTTCTAAATAACAAAATCAAGAACAATACCGTAGAATTTACATACCTTGGTAGAATGTTTAATAAGGCTTGGAAAACAGAGAGGAAATGTTAAAAGGTATAAATGCTGACAGAAAGACCATGGAACTTAGTGTTTCTGGTGTAGGAATGAATGTTTGTTGCAAAATTCGCCATGGGTAACAGCATATATTTGCCCACTTCACTGCACAGAAGTGAGAGTGGGCAATGTCAAGAAAAACATAGAAACAAATTTAATGCAGGGAAAAAAGGATTACTTAAAAAGGTGGTAAAATAAGAAAAGTTGTGGTCAAGAATTAATGAGTGATTAATAAATGTAGGCCGAACACTAAAGTGAGTAACTAGTATGAAAAACTACGCTGATGTGGTTTGATCATATATGTAAAGAGAATGAATATTAAACCGCAAAGCCAATACATATAAGTGAACAAACTGAGAGGAAAACTAAAAATAATTGAATAATTTTATGTCATTCTCAAAATCAGAGAAGTTGAATAAATAAAGGCAATATATGAAACTATGCACAGACGTGCTGAAAGCAGGGGGTTTTCAAGGATAAAATGTGGAGAAGTAGTGTGAACAGTATCAGTGTAAGTTAATGTTCTCTCATGTTTGACTTATGTGTCTGTCTTGGTTTACATTTTCCTTCCTCCTTTTCTGAACTTTGCATGGCAAAGTTAAGCTGAAAGACAATAGCATGATAGTTACGTACATATAATTAATACTTCAAAACAAATTATAATGGATTCCTTACTTGACAACCAGCTTTCTCCAGCAATTGAGCATATTTCACAGTTTTACTAATTTCTTGGAAAACACGGATTTTGCATGTAATGGGTACAGAGAGCTTTTCATTAGCCAATGCAACTGGAAAAAAAGAGAAAGAAACTGGCTGAATCTGGAAGTTACATTAGTAAAAGAACAAATAACTGCAATCCCCTTTTCTGATAAACCGCATGCGTTTACCACACTGCTGCATGTATATGTTATTACAGGAATAAATAACTATTAGGCCCTACTGTCTCTTTTGTGTGTCAATTTTACATTTGCAAAAAGATTTTGTGGATGAAAGAACTGTCTATAGTGGATGGATAATTCTGTGTCAGTGACCCAAAGCAATGAGGGAGCTTCAAAAATATGAGCCAAAAGTCTACCATATTGGCTACTGTGCCATTTCAATTCAGTGGCCCCTCTGTCCTGCGTTGGGCAATTAGGAATCAGCTGCCAGTTGTTTTATTTTATAATATTAGCTGTAGGTTTCTTCTAGTCATAATTAGCAAGATAGCATATCCACAACTTTGTATGCAGCAGAAGTATGGGGATACAGTCCAGTTAACTGTTGCTGGAATTACTTTGCATCCAGCAAACCCTACAGAACTATTTTTGGTTATATTGTCAAGGCAGAGGGACCAGTTACCAAAATCTATGTTCATAGCTTGCTGTGTCATCCAAACAGGATGCCCCAAGGACAAATATAATATAGTTTGGTTCCACTCTTTCTTCATCCCATCCTATAATCAAGAACTTTCAGGTCTTACTCATTTTTTGGAGAAGGTCCCACTCCTCTTGCAGGAATGCTCCATAGTGACCTAAAAGAAAATCCAAACAATTATGGCCTAACAGGGACTGGCCCAATGTTAGCTACACAAAATAGCCACAGCAGTTCCCTCCCCGCCCCTCTTTAGGCTCAAGAATAAATAACGATGGAAAATATATTGGAGAAATAAAAAGATTAATTCTAGGGAGCAAAGAAATGACAAATTAGACTAGAAAAAATGACTGCACATGGCAAGCATAGAGGAAGTAGAAGATAATCTACAATATGGCTTTTCCTAGAGAATTCACAATGACAAGCATTTATTGTGTAGTCAGAGGGAGTCAGGCAGGACTTGATGGCACTTTACTAACTCATTCCTTTCAAGAGAGACTGGTTCTGTGTCAATGTATGCAGTTTTGTGGCCTAAATTATTTTAGATTCCAAATTATGCATACCTCTTTTTGCAATCATCTGAGGACACCCCAGATTCAGGTCAACTGCATCACAATAGTCTTGAGCTAACAAGGCAGCCTCGACAAACACTGCTGGATCATTGGCACAGAACTGTGAAAGAGATATATAAGCCAAATAGTAAGTTAGCATTGATTTTAACATCAAAATGGCAGAAGCATTTAACACATTTATAAAACAATAGGTCACTATGCTTTAAATTGTATTATTACGTATAACAAAATATTTTATATACTTGTCCTCCCCAATCCAAGTAATATTATTGTTGTTGTGACTACCTGACAAGTTCCGATTATAACTTTCCAGGTAAAAACTCTTTGATTCATCATGACAGCATTACCTTTTTCCCACAACTACCACCATGTGGGCTAAGTTGACTGGGAGAGAGTGATTGGTCAAAAGTCATCTAATGAGCATGAGTGACAGAGGATAGGTTTGAACCTAAGTTTCCTTTGTTTTAATAAAACATCTTAATACTTATATCACACATGTTGAGTTTACAGTTCTTACCACTATAGTAAATGTCTGTGGATTATGGGAATTAGTCCTCGAGTGGGTGCATTAATTATTTTAAAATTATTTTTTTGAAACATTTGTCACACAATGCAGAAAAATGTATTCCACAACAAAGTTATGAAAGGCCACTGACATCATTTGGTCAGTATTACCTGTACAATCAAAGGTCTGTCTTCAGGGCACACTTCACAATACAAGTTTTCCTTACGATAATTGGCATCTCTGACAAAGACCTGAGCATGCAGCATAGGAGTATAACATAGGTGGGCCCCATGACGGCGGCTTAACAGTCTCCAAGCCAGTTCGCTTTGATCCACCATAGGAGCAACCACAAAACGGGCCCCTCTCAGTGTGTTTTTCCAAAATTCAAAGCCCTTGGGTTTGGGCATCATCCTTTCACTGGAAAGAAATACAAACAGTAAATGTTAATATCCTTTTATTCACCTTAGAAAGTAATTATAACATGCATTAACTGTATTCAACAACTGATATTAGTTTTTTTTCACATGGTACCCATTTACTATTGCAATCTATCATTTGTGTTGTTCTTAACACCTACATACAGTAGTCAAATGGTCAAAACTGAGCAAGATCCAGACATCTGTTGTGCACTTAAAAGTATATTATATTTGTTGTTGTTTATCCACTAGGTCATGTCCAACTCTTTGCAACCTCATGGACCATAACAGGCCAGACACCCCTGTCCTCCACTGTCTCCCTAAGTCTGCCCAAACTCATACCCGCTGCCTCGCTAACACTATCTCATTCTCTGCCGTCCCCTTCTCCTTTTGCCTTCAATATTTCCCAACATCAGGGCCTTTTCCAGTGAGTCCTCTCTTCTCATTAGGTGGCCAATTATTATTTGGCCATTATTCTCATTATTTGAGCTTCAGCTTCAGTATCTGTCCTTCCAAAGGACAGTCAGGGTTGATTTCCTTAATATATATTTAAGATAATATAAAAGTACACAGTAACTATATTATTTAAATTATATACCATTTGTTAACAAACTGCTGAACAGCAAGGATTTTATAGTTTAGAATACATTTCCTACATTTTTTATATTCTATGATTACTATTCTATGATTCTTTAACTCCTGCTTTATAATGCTACAACATACCGCATTTTATTTTCCTCACTTGGTCATCTAACTTGCCCTGCCAGAGCTTATTCATTTTATCTTGAGAATGAAGATCAAATGAAAACAATGCTAACTAGAAATCAGCACTATGAAACATTTCTATCCTCTTGTCTGCAAGAAACCAGATCTGTCCGATCTAAGCTTAAATATTAGTGACAAGTGAGTTATTTCCTCCTTTATGAAACATTGTCAGCGTGGCTATGTTTCTAGGGTGCGAACTTCACACATTTTGCAATTAGTTTCTTTCCCCCCCCCTCCCCTCATCTCTATTTAGGGAAATAAACACAGAAATCCCTGTTATCTGATAACAGCAAAGCTGGCATATCATTTTTATAAGGCTAGGGAGCCAATCCAATATGACCCGGATTACCTTTTGATGATGGCCGAGCATTAGTCTATAGGTCTAGCGGGGAAAGCCAGCTAGCTTAATAGAGGGAGACTTCCTATAATTATCTAAGAGAGGAAAGAGCGAAGGCTCGACGTAGACGCCTTGTTGTCTCCATGCGGCAAGGGGAGCCCATGCCGGCTTCCATCTAGAATTCACCTTTTCAAAAAGCGGCGGCGGCAGAAAGGCGCTACGTTACACAGCGGCACCCCGGTCACGGTCCTGCCACTTGGCCAAACCAGCCCAAGCCCCGAGCTCATCTCCCTGCTCTTCAAGGAGGGCAACCCCCCTATAAAAACCAGGCCAGGAGCCCGGCCTGCCTCCCTTCTCCGGAGCTCTAGCGCCACCCCACCCCCCCACCGGCCCAAATCCTTCTTCCGCCGGAGCCCCGATAGCACCTGAGGCTGAGGCCAGGCGGGGCGATTAAGCCCCCTCAAGGCAACGCACCAGTCATTTCAGTCCGGCCCGCGTGGGAGGGCGTAACCTCGAACGCGGCCCCCTCGGAAACGACGGCGCGGAAGAAAGGGGCCGGACGTCTTCTTCCCGGCCGCCCAGCAAAGCCTCCTCTGCCGGAAGGAAAAAGACGAGAGAGGGACTTCCTGCATTTAGCGCGTGGCGCTTTTTCTTACTTAGCTCGCGATGCGGGTGGTCGGGTATGTCAGACAGTACCGACTAAAATTTATGCTTTAGTCAAGCGGTGTTTCTCAACCTTGACAATTTTAAGGCATGTGGACTTCAACTCCCAGAATTCCACAGCCAGCAATGCTGGCTGTGGAATTCTGGGAGTTGAAGTCCACATGCCTTAAAATTGTCAAGGTTGAGAAACACTGCTGCTTGTGTATGTGAACTCAGGCGACTGGATCAGTTAAGGCAGTGGTTCTCAACCTGTGGGTCGGGACCCCATTTGGGATCGATTGACCATTTCACGGGGGTCGCCAAGCAAGGCTGTCCGCCATTTTTTTTGTCTGCCATTTTTTTCCCCTTTTCCGGCAGGTGCCTTACCTCCCTTGGGCTGGGCTAGCTGGTGGTCAGCCTGCTCCATCTCTGCCGCTTGCCAGCTACGCCTCGGCCGGCACAGGGGGCGGAACCACGCATGCACAGCGCTCCCGGGCAGGGAAAGTCCTCGACTTACGACCGGTTGGGTAGTCCTCGACTTACGACCGGTTTAGTCCTCGACTTACGACCGGTTGGGGTCATGGCATTAAAAAGGTTGAGAACCACTGAGTTAAGGAAATGAAAGGTTAAATGAAAGGAGTCATAACTCCCCGTTCCTTCCCGGCTCCCTGAAAGTTGTAGAGTCGCTCTTTACCGAGCTGAGGAAAGTCGGGCTCCGGAAGAGAGAATTGGAAGAGAAAAAAAATGTAGGGCAGGCGGGTTTCTGCTTAAGGGAAAAGACCTCTTGACCCATTTAGCGGTTTGCCGAAACGTCAGCGAGCATCTCTCCTGGCTCCGTTTCAAATCACTGCAATCCTGTCACTTAATGGGGGCAAAGCCCGGCAGCTTTTACACTCTTTGAGGTTGCCTTTCAACAAACAGCATGGAGACAAGGAGGAAATGCTCCTCTATCCTGGTACAGCTGACAGGAGTCTCAGGCTGCGGTGGAGATGAAGGCATCGTCCTAGGGCCATGGCAGAAAAATAATCATTTCCCAGAACATTTTGTAGCATGGCCAGGATCAACTGAGAAAAGGGTATTTACAGGTGGTCCTCGATGTACGACTACGGACAGTTGAGCCCCAAATTTATGTTGCTAAGTGAGACATTTGTTAAATGAATTTTGCCTCATTTTTACAACCTTTCTTGCCACAGTTGTTAAGTGAATCGGGCTTTCCCATTGACTTCTTGTCAGAAGGCTACAAAAGGTGATCACATGACCCCAGAACACTGCGACTGTCATAAATATGAGTCAGTTGTCAAGCATCTGAATTTCAGTCACATGACCATTGAGATGCTACAGCGGTCATAAGTGTATGAAAGTGTGAAAAGCAGTCATAAGTCACTTTTTTCAGTGCTGTTGTAACTTTGAATGGTCATTAAATAAACTGTTGTAAGGCGAGGACTACCTGTAGTTTTGCTCTCAGTTCTGAGGTGACCATTTTGTTGGCATGTGAGATGTCCGTGCCCTGTGTGCAATATGAATAGAAAGAATCATCTGATTATGTGCCAAATGAAAAATGTGTCTTTTTATTTAAAATTATTTAATTTTATATTTTTACATAATCAGAAATATTTCAGCTTCAAACTTCAGTATAATGATGATGCAGCATTGGTGATTCAGCAATGCCACATTCCATTTGCTTAGTCTACTGCTCCATTTTTATATTCTTGATATCATTAGCCAAAGCATTGGATCCTCTTCAAATCTGATTGTGCTATTCGAGCCTAACCTTCAGATGATTCACTCTTAATTGGGATGAGCAGTATTATTTTGACATGGGAGAACAGAGGACATAGCTAGTGACTGGAAGTGGAGACAGCGGATCTGAAACGCTTATTTTGTCATTTTGTTTTAGGGGCTTTGGGAAAAATTAGGGGCAAAACTGATATAAACATTTCAGACCTGCCCATTTCAGGAGGCTCAGAGGACACACGTTGCCCTAAAGTCTAGGTTGGTAATCCCTGATTTATTGTTAAGAAACCTTATTACCAATAAATGCTGACATTAAGGATCAGTCAGATCTAATAATGAACCCCATGCCTCATACTCTGCTATCCATTGTGCTTGCAGCCTGAAATCACAGCACCTATAACCTGCTGACTTTTATACATTCCATTTTAGGACTTATGACTTCTATATCAAGTCAGCCTTCAATTTTGCCTTATACTGACTTTTGGTAAGTTTTTGTCTAATAAGATAACCAATATTACAGGTAGTCCTCAATTACAGCTGCAATTGGGACTGGAATTTCTGTTGCTAAGTGATGCAGTCATAACATTGTGCTTTATAACTGCATCACTTAGCAATGGCAATCTCAGCAGTCCTAGCTGGTCATAACTACGTGGGTCATTAAATGAGGGCCTCACGTGACCATATAGGAAGAAGCAAGAGTCTAAGGCAAGCAGGCTGGCAGGTGAGAGTGTGGATGACAGCTAAGAGTGGACAGGCAAATTCAGCAGACAGTTGCTAAAGAGTGCAAGCAGATACCATGGGCAGTACTACCAAGCATGGGTGGGTGTGCGGATGTCACGGGGTACTACAGTATGGGCAGACACTGTGGAATACAAGTGAGTGGATGCCCAGACAGGCAAAAAAGCACCAGGAGCACAAGCGACTTACCCATTAACTTTGCAAGTGAATGTCACAATTGTGATCACATAACCACAGGACACTGCAACTGTTGTAATTGTGAGCTGATTGCCAAGCGACCAAATTGTAATCATGTAACCACAGGGATGCTGTAACAGCCACAACTTTGTGGCTAATAGCAAGTCTCTTATTCAGCACCATTATAATTTTGAACGGTTGCTGAACGAGTGGTTGTAACCTGAGGACTACCATACATCTTTGCTATGATGCTTTTTAGTATGCAAAAGCAGTAGCAGTCAATGGTTTAGAATGGAAGGTAAGAACTTCCTGACACGTCATTGTGCTATGGGATAAGATGGGAAGATGCTGATGCTCTAAAGAGAAGCCTGAAGAGGAGGCATGGTAAATTGGATTGTGATGTAATTATTGTAAATCCATCCACCTGGCAAGTGGTATCATGCACTACCTGTGAGAATTTCAAACAGACAGCTTACTCAAATACTATTTGTGACTCAACTGATTCTGACTACATAATGATTAATTTTACATTAATTTATACACACCCAGTTATATGTAAGAGACTAACAAATGTGGCATTAGGTATTTATTTGAGCAACTTCTATTAAAAAAATATCTGCTGTCTAGCAATAAACAGTGCAAAAGCTATGATAGCTGTCTATCCTTTCCTGACTTCTAAGTCTCAGTAGCTGTTTTAGGTTCCAGTTTTGGCATTCATCAAACTGAATATGGTGAAAAATTGCCAAAAATTAAAACACTCAACATATATATCTGGTTAGCTAATTGCAAAATAGGTTCTGTCGGACATTTGGCTGCAAGAATTGTCACACATTCAATTTATTTCTGCTACCAGTTGCCCTAATTCAGAAATATGTATTTTACTTCTATCAACAAGAAGCATTCAAAGTCAGTCAGTGGTTCTTGCTGGACAATAGCTGTGGAGTAATATTTAAAAAGTGGAGTGAATATGTGGCCGGCCCTCTTTTCTTCCCAAGATTATCCATTGAGAGAGCTAAAGACAAATTAAAACATGGCACAAATCATAGAAACAGCCAGTGGAACCTTGCATTTTAGGAATTCAGTGCAAAAGCAATTTGGAATAATCTTATGGGTAATTTATTCAGTTTTGTTATTGTTCATTTGCTGAGGCAGAATAACTTCCAATAATGTCCTTTGAACATTTTAATGCTGGTGGTATAATGGTTGCCTTCAGAAGGAAATTTTTCTGTAAATACAGGTAGTCTTCAAGTTACGACCACAATGGAGCTCAAAAGTTCCATTGCTAAGCAAGACAATTGAGTTGTGCTCCGTTTTACAACCTGTTTTGTGCAGTTGTTAAGTGAATCGCTGCCGCTCTTAAGTGAAGCATGTGGTTCTTAAGTGAATCTGGCTTCCCCCATTCACTTTGCTTGTCAAAAGCCAGCTGGGAAGGTTACAATTGGTGATCACATGACTCCAGGACAGTGCAACTGTCATAAATACATGCCAGTTGTCAAGCACCTGAATTTTGATCACGTGACCATTGGGATGCTGCAATGGCTGTGTTGAAAAACCAATCGTAAGTTTTTTCAGTGTTATATCTTCGAACGGTCACGAAATGAATGGTTGTAAGTCAAGGACTACCTGTACTTAGTTATTCTCATATTTTGCACTGATTGTCCTTTCAATTATGCTATATAAATGTTAGCCTCATTCTGCTATTGGAAGCGAAGGCAGTTAGAGCTTTCAAATTGTAAAAAATATTGTGGCATAAGTTTTGTTTTTACCAGCTTTAAATATTAAAGGAAATGGAAGACACAGATTAAGGTACTAGGAAAACATGTTTGTGTAGTCAATCAACCACTCTAACCTGAATAAACTGAGATCTATTTTTCTTCAAAAAAAGAGGAAGAAATGTAAAAATAGACAATGAACGATATGGCAGATTTAAAGTGTTTAATTCAAGAACAGCTGCAGAAAAAAAGATGCATAGAGTTTTTCCTAATGTAAACATAAAAAGGAAGGAAAGCACAAACACAGTGGACAGATTTTTTTTTTCATTTTTCATTTCAAAGAACCGCTTAACAACTAAAAGCATGCATCTAGCTGCATGTCCACAGAGGATGGGCTAGCCAACTCATTCTCAGCAAGTATGAAATGCGTGTGCCCTGATGCTAGTAAAATAATCCAGCTGAGAAACTGGACTCAAAAGAGTTTGGAGAGGCACTACAGTTCCTCTCATTGCTGGTTTTTCAGAGTATCTCCACTGTATCATTA